GTGAATATGTGGGTGGCGACGGGGTAAGATTACGACGTGTGGTGGCATGCACGAGTGCGCGACGAGGCATGGCAGGGTGGGAGTGAGCAAGGGGGAGTGGGGCAGCCTGTGTGCCCAACGTGGGCGGCTAAAACGCTCTAGGCAGAAACGCGCTTCAGGAGGCGCGCAAGGGGAGGGGAGAAACCAAGCATAGGGGAGCGAGATACGAGGGGCAGCGGTGCGGATTGAGGAGGGGCAGGGAGTGGAGTGGGTCGGCGAGGGGAAGGAAGAGGCGTGCAGCAGAGGAGGGGAGGGGGGGAGGAGAAGGTAAACGAGGGGAGCGCACGGGCGGGGAGGAGCGAATGGCGGGCGGTGGGAAACGGCGACGGGGGGCAGGAGGGGTCAAAAGAGGCGGCAAGGGAGCGGGCACGCGGAGGGTAGGGGCGGGGGGAGCGGATGGCATGAGGGGGCAGGGGGTGTGACTATGAAGGGGGGACCCGGGCTGGCGGGTGTGTACCGGTCGGGGCAAGGTTGACGTGGTACGATCATACCTCGGCTACTACGCCTGATCCCATCAGAACTCCGAAGCTAAGCGCCGGTGGGCGAGAGCAGTTATTCATTAATAAGGGAAGAGCAAATACAAGCCGAATATAATGGTTTTTCCAAGACTAGGAAAATTTCGACATAGCTAATCGCTATGATGACGGGTATCATATATTTTGTAGGAAAAGGGGGAAAGAAAGGAAGGAGGAAAGATGAAGGAGTAGAAGAAGTGGTAGGGAAAGAAGGTGGGCGAGAGCAGTACTGGGCTGGGTGACCTCCCGGGAAGTCCTCGTGTTGTACCCATTTATGCCCCTTGCTCGGCACGTGCCGGGGGAGGGGCAAGCGGGGAAAAAGAAAGGACGATTTCAGCGCGTCCGATTTTTCTATTTTCGTTTTTTGCCGAACAACGACCCAGCGGGGTGGGGGGGCCCCCGGGAGGCTTGCTCGTGCGAAAGAAAACGCCCCGTGCGCACCACCGTTGGGCGGTTGGAAGCCGCGCACGGGTCGCGGGGGTGGAGAGCGGAAACGGGCAGCCGGGGGAGGGTGGGGGCGTTGGATGGGACTGGGGTGTACGGGGGCAGGGGAGTTGAGGGGGCAAGGGGAGGGGCAGCAACGGGCAGGGGCTGGGCCAAGCTGAGGGCACGGAAAAGGGGCGGGCAGAGGGTGAGCAGAGGGGCGAGCGATGCAAGGGAGGCACCATAGGGGGGGGAAACCAGTTGCACGGAGGTGGGAGGTTGAGGGGCGTGCGAGGGGGTGGGAAGGGGGCAGGGAGGGGCAGAATGGGAGGATGTGGGTGGGGGGTGGGGGGAGGGGAGATGTGCGTGTGTGTGTGTGAGAAGAGAGAGAGGGAAAGGGAGGGGGGGAGAGAAGGGTGGGAGGGGGGCTGGTGGTGGGGATGGGCTGATGGTGGTAAGAGGGCAGCAGGTATGGGAGAAGGGAGCGTAACGAGGGGAGAGCAAAGGGCAGGGGGGGAGAAGGGAGGGGCAGGGAGGGAAGAGGCTGAACGTACAAAGGGGGGGAAACGAGGGGCATGGATGGTAGGAAAACAAGGGCAGGGGTGCGGGAAACCAAGGGCAGGGAGGGGAGAAGCAATGGGTGAGGGGAAAACAAGGGAGGGCAGAGGGGGGTGGGCAGGGAGGGAATAAACGTGGGGCAGGGAGGGGAGAAGCCAAGGACAGGGGCATGGGCAGGCGGGGGCAGGGAGGGAGCAAGAGGAGAGGCACGGAGAAAGAAGGGAGGCGCGGGGAGGGAGAAACCGGGCTGTGGGGGGGCGGAAACGAGGGGCAGGGCGGGGAGGAGGGAGGGGCAGGGAGGGGAGAAGCTGAGCACACAGAGGGGGGAAAGGTGGGGCAGGGAGGTAGGAAGCCAAGGGCAAGGGTGGGAGAGGTGGGGGGGGCAGGGAGAGGGGGGAGGTGGGGGGCGGGAGAAAGGCGGCGAGGGGCAGGGAGGGGAGAAACCAAGCATAGGGGGGCGAGATACGAGGGGCAGGGTGCGGATTGAGGAGGGGCAGGGAGTGGAGTGGGTCGGCGAGGGGAAGGAAGAGGCGTGCAGCAGAGGAGGGGAGGGGGGGAGGAGAAGGTAAACGAGGGGAGCGCACGGGCGGGGAGGAGCGAATGGCGGGCGGTGGGAAACGGCGAGGGGGGCAGGGAGGGTCAAAAGAGGCGGCAAGGGAGCGGGCACGCGGAGGGTAGGGGCGGGGGGAGCGGATGGCATGAGGGGGCAGGGGGTGTGACTATGAAGGGGGGACCCGGGCAAGGGGTGTGTACCGGTCGGGGCACGGGGTTGACGTGGTACGATCATACCTCGGCTACTACGCCGGATCCCATCAGAACTCCGAAGCTAAGCGCCGGTGGGCGAGAGCAGTTATTCATTAATAGGGAAGAGCAAATACAAGCCGAATATAATGGTTTTTCCAAGACTAGGAAATTTCGACATAGCCTAATCGCTATGAGGACGGTATATATATTTTGTAGGAAAAAGGGGGAAAGAAAGGAAAGGAAGGAAAGATGAAGGAGTAAGAAGAAGTGGTAGGGAAAGGAAGAGGGTGGTAGGAAGAGAAGGGAAGGATAGAAGAAGGGAACAGAAAGAGGGAGGTGGGAAGAGAAGAGGAGAGAGGGAGAGAGACTAAGGAGGAGGAAGCACCAAAGGACCAAACACGGCAGCAACCCGCACGACCGCACGGGCACAGCGTTTCAAGCACAGCCACTATTTTTTTTTACACATATGCATCATATATATACTGCATATCAGCCACACTCTCGAAGCACCCTGTGACGTGGTGCCAAGTTCCCTGCCCCGCACCCAGTGGGACTGGTGCGGGCATCCACCCGTCGTCGGACCTCCCTAACTGCCGCACCGCATGCTGGATCATGCATTGAGCCTGCGCGCGCTGCAGTGCAACGGAGAGGCGTGTAGTGAGTCCTGCCTCAAATATCCGTGCCGATCCGTCATCCCCCCCACCTCTATCCCTCCTCCGCTGTGCTATCCTCTTTGCGCAGAGCCCCAGAAACTGACGCAGCGGCTCACTCAGAAGGCCAAAGGTCTCCGCCACGCACGCGTAAAAGTGTGGTGCCGGCTGCAGCCCCTCTAAGTGCGGCCCCCAGTGACGCAGCTTCTCCTGCACCCGCCTAGCTGCTGCCACTCCAATCTGTGTGGGGGTCGCCCGTCTCAGCTGCACGTTCCCCTCCCGCTGTGGATCCGCTATGGAGACATCCACAAGAACCATCAGACCCTGGCCAACGTCGCGGCAGGTGAGATCTGGAATGCGGGAGGCGGTGCCTACACGGCCTGTGCGTCCGACTGGTCCCTGCTGTTGCGCTGGCTGCTGCCCTGTCTGGTCCCTTGGTGCCCCCTCTCCGATCGTCTCTCTCCCCCTCTCCTCTCCTCCATCCACCTGTCCTCTCCCCTCCCCCTCTCTACCCTCCCCCAAACCTCCCGACCCCCCTGCTCCATCCCCTGCTGCCTCTCTCACTCCCTGGCCCTCCCCTCCCAATCCCGCTGCCCCTCCTGTACCTCCGTCCGCTCTCTGCTGCTCCCAGCCCCTGCCCCGCCCCCGAGGCCGAACCTGGAGGCGCGGCGCCCTGGGCTCGCGGCCTCCACTGGCTCTCCTGCTGCTGCCTGTGCCGTCCCCCCTCCCCGTCCTGGCCCGTCTGCTCCCCCTGCCGTCCCCTCTGCCCACCTGTCCCTCGCTCCACCTGACCCCGCAGCTGGTGCCGTCCCCACTGTCCCCCGCCACCCGGCTGTCCCGCCTCGCCTCTCCGCTCCCCCGGTCCCTCAGCCCGTGTCCCCTCTCCCACCACTGGCTGTCCCAGTAGTCTCGCTCGAGCCGCCTCCAACTGTGTGAACAGCGTAGAGTCCTCCACCTTTACCGCGAAGCCCGCCTCGACCGCAAAGTCTCGAAGCATGTACTTCACCGTGTCGTGGATGGTAGTGGCGACCCCGTAGCGCGGGCACCGAACCGCGTGATGAGGCACCGTCATGTCGTCAATCGCCTGTCCGCAGGAGCACTGACCTGCAAGGGCTAACTGGGGGATAGGGAGACCAAGACGAGAAGATGAAGCCGCCTGCCACAGCGCCTCCGGGATGCGCAGTGGGTCGGCGTACGGCACCGACGTCAACCACGCCCCTGCACCTCCGCCCTGAAGGGAAGTCAAACGGGCAAGGTGCAAGGGAGAGGCGTGACGGGCACGCACGGCCTCCAAGGCATGCGCCTCCAGAAGACGGCTCGCTCCTGCAAAAAGGGAATCGGGGGAGGCAGAAGCGCAAGAGGGCCAGGGGGGAAGGAGAGAGAGAACGTCAGGTGGGAGACCCTCTAGCGCCGTCTGCAGAGCCCGGTCGATCTGCTCTGGCTCACCTGAAGCGAAGCTCTGCCGAAACACCTCGCCACACGCAGGGAGAGAACAGAGAATGGGTGCACACTGCACCCAGGAGCACACGAAACTCACCGGGGCAATGCGCGCCATGCGACGAATGCCGAAACCCCCGAGACGGATGGGGAGGAAGATCTGGTCTAGGGCGGCCTCTCGGACGTCCTCGCGACAAGCCCAGGTCCCTGAAGCTAAAAGCTGCTGAAAATGTCTCTCCCAGGCGTGCGTCCCACCGTGTAAAACTGGAGATCACTGCGGGCGAAGGAGGGACGGTCCTCGACAGGTACTGCGGACGAGTGCTGACACACGCCGAAAGAAGGCGGGCAGCTGTCTGGGGCTGGCGCAACCTCGGAAGCCAAGGTAGCACCCGCCCCATCCTCTCGAGACGATCCGGGAGACTCTGCTCCACGAACGAAACGGTGCCTACCGGTACGCCTGTCACGGTGAGCCCTCGGCGTGCGACCTCGATCCCTAGGCCCGTGAAAGCCTCCAGATCCCTGGACAGAAAGGACTCCGTCTGGTAGACGAGGCACTTGTGCGGCTGGGCTGCAAGGCCCATCTCGCCCAAGCGCCTCACGATCTCGGCAAAGTGGTGCAGCACCCTGTCTGGGGGACCTAGCACGTACGTGTCATCGGCGTACGACCAGAGCTGGACATCCCCCTCCGCCAGAACCGGCTCCAAAGCAAGACGCTGTGTCAGAGCGTACAAGAAGGGGCTGAGAGGGTCTCCCTGGCGAGTGCCCCGCTCCGAGTGCATCGTGACCACTCCCGTGCCTGACCTGTAGTGGAGATCCGAGGGCGTCCCGTAGAAGAGGCCGATGAAGGGGATCAGACACTGAAACTCCGGGCTGGCCTGCAGCGCCTGGAACATCCTGTCTCGGTGGAAAGAGTTAAAGGCATTCGCCACGTCTAGCTGCAGGACCACCCAGTCTGGGTGGTCAGCCAGGGCGCGGCGGACGCCTCTAACTACGACCTCTGTCCCGCACAGTAACCCCCACCCCAAACTGCTGTGACGCCAAGAAGACCCTCGCCATCTGGTCACGTAGCTGGAGACAGACTGCACGAGAAAGAATGCGGACCAAAACCTCGCCGATGGCAATCGGCCGAACATCCATGTTCGACTTCGCCAGAGCCACGAGGGTGGAAGACGCTAGCAAGGAGCGTGCAGCTGGAGCGCAACGGCCTCGGAGCCACTGCTGGTACACGGCCAGGAGGAAATGGAGACTCTGAGGGAAAGCTAGGAAAGTGTCTCGCAGGTGCTCAGCGACCCAACCGGACGGTCCTCCCGAAGAGCCCCGCGGAGCTGTGAAAATCGCGCGGCGTAAGTGATCCACCGAGAGCACAAGAGGGGACCCCTGGAAGCCAGACAGCCAAGCTGGGGTCGGCCTCTCCGCGTTGGGGTGCTTCGACTGCAGGCGCTGTATCGTCCCCTGTGTATCTGGGGCTGCCTCCGCGGACTCGAGAGCCGCGCACCGCCCGTGAGGTCTCATTGCACGCTGCCAGACGAAGGCAACGTGCAATGCGGCGCTCATCTGCTGTAGAGGGATCGGTGGCGGTGCGTGACCGGTGACCTGTGCGCCGAGGAAGGGGTGTGCGACGGCCTAGTGCATCTGAGACTAGCTCAGCCCACTCACCTCGACCAAAGCGGGAGATGCGCGCTGCAATGGCAGCCGTGTGCGAGCGGTCGGGTGGCGTCGCTGGAACAAGGAAAAGAGTCGGCGCTGCAGCGAGGAGGAAGGTAGGGCCAGCAGCCTCCGGGTCCTGGGCAATGCGGACTAGGATCGCACTGAGGACGTCAAGATATCCTCCGCGGACCCTCTCCGGGACACGTCGGAGAGGGCGTGTATGGATACGCTCGGGCGAGAAGTACTCTGTCCAGTCCACCGAGTCGAGCGTCTGCCACTGTGCGTCGGTGAACTGCATCCCGGTCGCACGGGGCTGTGAGAGGGAAGGGATGATCGAGGCGGTATCATGGGCAGCCTGCGCCCTGCGAGCCGCGTCCGCAGGATGGCAGAAGGGAATGTGGTGCTGGAGCGCGCGTCGGTTCGCGAGAGAGCTCCTGCAGGTGGGGCAACTCACGACCTGGTCGGGTGATGTCGCCGTGTCGGCGGGGTCAATCGGGGCCGTGGCGTCGGAACTGGCTGTAGAGGGGACCCCGTGGGCGGCCTGAGCTCCGAGAGGATCGCCTGGGATGAGGGGAGGAGACGACTCACCAGCCCCGCGCGGGGGGGGTGTCAGCGAAGATAGAGGTGGTGTCGCACAGGATAGGGCCGGGCCTCGTGCCGGTACCGGTGTCGAAGCTGGGGAGGGGGGACGTGGAGGTGAGCCTGAAGTGTGTGCCGTGGTGTGCTCCTGCCCCTCGGCGGGGTGCGGTTCAAGTGACGGCTCTGCTACCCCAGGCGGAGGGGTCTCGGTAGGGGCGGATGCCTCATCCCTACTGCTGGTGACCTCCTGCGCCACGGGCTGAACGGGGGGAGGCGCCACCCCGTCTAGGTGCGAGTGACACGGCCTCAGAACCCGGTCCGTCTCCATTGGGGTCGGGAGTGACGCGCCTAGGCTGAGTGGCGGGGGGGATAAAAGAAGGGACAGACCGGGTGACCTCCGCATACGTCCGGGTCCGGTCCTGTGGGACTGGAAGGGTGGGGGCAGCCGGAGAGCTGCTCAGGGCGGTGTATCGCCAGCAAATCTGAAATGCCAGCCCTCACCTCCTCTGGGGTCTCGAAGACCTGCCTGCCTGTAGGTGAGAGTAGGAGGGCTGGCAGGGTAGAGGGTGGAGTGGGGCGTGCTGGCTGAGCGGAGCTCGGGTGTGGACCCTGCCCTAGAAGGCCCCCTTGGCCCTCCCCAATCACCATGGGTTGCGGTAGGGGGTCGTCGACATGGAAGGGGTGGGAGGGATGGGAGGGGGAGTCGGTGGCGTCTGCCATGGGCGCATCCCTCAACCCGACGGCCTCCCTCCCAGTAGCGATCGCGGCCGCCGCCACCTGGGAGGGGGACACAGCACGGGAGGGGCAGAATGGGGGTGAGTGGGCTGGTACCGCTCCCATGGCCCTGTGGAGGTGCAGGAGCGGGGCGGGAGTGTAGGTTTGGTGGTCGGGCTGTAGAGGTAGGGCCTGGTAAGGGTTCAACGGGATGTGAGGTAGGGAGGGGCTCTTGGTGGGGGAGGGAGGGAGGGGGGAGTACGTGGGCTGACCCTCTCTGCCCCTGTTCTTCCGCCGGCGGCCAACCTGGTTGTCCGCGCCTGTTTGTGAAGGAAGGGGGGGCTGTGGGGCCAAAGGGGTGGGTGGAGGGAGGATGGGTGGTTCGCCAGGCGGGGGGTGCTCTGTGTGCATCCCCTCTCTCCTCGAAACATCCCCCTCCGTGGGAACAGATCGGGCAAGCTGTGTGTGGGGGGTGATGGCTGCCCAACGGGGCCACTCGTGGGGAACCCGGCCGGGAGAGGGGGTTGGAGGTGGGGGTCGAGGGGCTGGGCCAGTGTGGAGGTTAGAGCGAGGTACAAACGGTGGGGGGAGAGAGATTTGTGTGGGCCCTGTGGTGGCCTCTCCTGTGGGCCCCTCTACCCGGGTGCCGCCGCTCCCATGAGCCTGGGGCGCAAGCCCTTGCGGGTGGGTCTCGGCTGCCTGGGGGGGGTGGTGTGGGGAGGGCAGCCTGTTGGGTGGGCGTGTTGGGGCTGTGCGGCGACTCGGGTGGTTTGGGTGCCTGTAGCGTGTGGGAGAGGGATTTGGCCGCAGAGATGCTTCAACCTCCGAGATGTGTGTACTACCGGGTGGGGGGGGGCCTGGTGGAGGAGGGGGTAGTGGGCCGGTAGGGGGTGGCTGGGTGTTGGTAGGAGTCGGGGAGCATGGCTCCTCTAGGAAGACCAGAGCCCTGGCTGCTCCACGTGGTGCTCTAAGGAGCCCCTGAGGGTGGGGGCAGAGGTGTGCTGCCCTTGGGGGTGAAGGAAGGAGTGAGGGAAGGGGCGGGGAGGGGTGAGAGGGTGAGAGAAGGGGTGCCCTCGGGTGACTCTGCTCTTGTCGCACCCGCGTGCTCTCCCGGTGGACCGCCTGCAACCGTGGGGTCAGGCGTTGGGGACGGAGAGGGGGAGCTGGCCATGGAGCAGCGTGGGGGTCGGGGAGCACTGGCTCCGCCAAGAAGGCCAGGGCCTTGGCTGCCCCCCTGGACACTACCGGGACCTGAGGGTGGGGGTGGGGAAGTGGTGCTCCTGGGGGTGGGTGGGCTGGAGGACGGGAGGTGAGGATGGGGGCTCCCTCGCGCGGCTCTGTCCTCAAGGTCTCCCCCAGCCCCTCCATCGGTCCTTCTGCTAGCATGGGGACGGGCATGGGGGGTAGAGGGGGAATCTCGACGTGAGGCTGCAGGGGGGCCGGGTCGGCCTCACCGTCAAGCGTGAGGTATTGGGCCAGTGGCCCGTCAATGTGCATCACATCCTCTCCCTCATCCTCCTCTATCGCTATCACATCCCCCTCTTCAGTGCCCACCCCGGTCGGGACCACACTCACCTCTCCTTCCCCTGTTGCCCCTATGTCCCCCGAGCCCACCCCGCCTGCTGCCGCTTTACTGCTAGCCCCTTTTGCAGTCTCTGCCGGCCCTGCCGGCCCTGCTGTGTGTTTCCCCGCGTTTGCTGCGGCCCCTAGCCGCCCCTACTGGCCGTGCTATGGCCCTCCCTGCTGCTTCAGCTGCAGCCTCACCTTCTGCCTTTGAGGCCACTGCTGTCCCCTCTCCCACTCTAGCCCCTGCCGTACCCTCTCTTGCTACAGCCGGGGCGGCACTCTCCCTCGCACCAGTCCCCGTTACCCCCTTCCCCGCTGCACCCGTAGCACCTCCCCCTATACCAGCCCCCACTGTGGCCTTTGTTGCTCCTGCTGCAGTCCTTGCAGCCTCGACTGCTGCAGTCTGTAAAACCTCGCCTACCGTAATCTGCTCAGCCTCACCAGCCGCGATCCCTGCAGCCTTGCCTGCCGCGGTCCCTGCAGCCTCACGTGCTGCAGTCCTGCAGCCTCACCCGCTGCAGTCCCTGCGGCCTCACCTGCTGCAGTCTGTGCAGCCTCACCTGCTAGAATCTGCTCAACCTCACATGCTGCGGCCTCTGCAGCCTCACCTGCTGCGGCTATTTCAGCCTCACCTGCTGCGCTCCCTGCGGCCTCACCTGCCATGGTCCCGCCTGCAGCCTCATCCGCTGTGGTCCCTGCCGCCTCACCTGCTGCAGTCCCTGCGGCCTCACCTGTTGCAGTCCCTGCGACCTCACCAGCTGTAGACTGTGCAGCCTCACCTGCTAGAGTCTGCCCAACCTTACATGATGCAGCCCTCGCAGCCTCACCTGCTGCGTCCGCCGCAGCCTCACCTGCTGCGGCCCCTGCAGTCCCGCCTGCTGCGCTCCCTGCAGCCTCGCCTGCTGCGCTCCCTGCAGCCTCGCTGCTGCGCTCCCTGCGGCCTCACCTGCTGCGCTCTCTGCAGCCTCACCTGCTGCGCCCCCTACAGCCTCACCTGCTGCGCTCCCTGCAGCCTCACCTACTGCGCTCCCTGCGGCCTCACCTGCCATGGTCCCTCCTGCAGCCTCACCCGTTGTGATCCCTGCAGCCACACCTGCTGTGGTCTGTGCGGCCTCACCTGGTGCGGTCCCTATAGCCTCCTCTGCTGCGGTTCCCCCAGCCGACACAGCAGCAGGTTCCGTGGCCCCTACTCCTGCAAAACCTGTCTCCATGGCCTCTGCCCTTTGCCTGGCCAGAGTCACGGTCCCTGCCGCCCCTTCCCGTGCAGCCCCTGCCGCCCTTTCCCGTGCAGCCGCTGCTGCCCCTTCCCTTGCAGCCTCTGCTGCCCTTTCCTCTGCAGCCTCTGCTGCCCCTTCCCCCACAACCCCCATTGCCCCTTCCCGTGCAGCCTTTGCTGCCCCATCCTCTGCAGCCTCTGCTGCTCCTTCACACACAAACTCACTTACCCCTTCCCGTGCAGTGTCAGCTGCAAGTTCCCCCCTGGCTCTGCCCTCTCCCGCTTCTATGTGCTTGGGGGTGCGGGTAGGATTAAGTGTTTTCACAAGTAATCTGGTTTGCGAATGGGAGGTAGCGAGTGAGTTGGAGGATCTCTCTACTGAGCATGCATGGGTGCCGCCCCCGCTGTCACCTGAAGGGGGGGTAGGCTGGGATGGGGCAGCGGGGGTAGGGCGCGGTTTTGAGCGTGCTGGCTCCTCCTCGTGTATTTCCTCCAGTGGGGCTTGGCGTTCCTCTGTTCCATCCTCTTCAAAGGGTACGCTTCTGGCCCCTAGGGTCAGATTGTGTGAGTGTTTTCGCTTGGTCAGGTGTATGTTGTTTCTTCCTGACTGTTGAAGTGGGGGGAGTGGGAGAGTAGGGGGTGGCTCGGCTGCGGGACCTCCCAGATCGCCGAGGGGCTCCCGGGTCTGCCTTTCCCCCACTCGCGGGGTGCTGGGGCATTGTTACAGAGGCAGCATGCCTGGCGGTGGCGGTGTGAGTTGCTGGAGTTGGCTCAAGAGGGCGTCAAAGGGGGAAGGAACTCCCTGGCAGAGGCCGGGGTGCGGGGGGTTAGCTTGGGGAAAGGGGAAAAGGGTGGGGAAAGCGGTGCGCAGTGGGTGGAAGAGAGGGTAGAGGGGGCCTGACAGTTGGAGGGGATTGGGGCCCAAGGGGGGGGCGGGCTGGGGGCCGGTTGAGAGGGGAAGTGTTGGCGGGCTGTAGTGGAGGTGGGGGGGCGGGGGTGATGTAGCGGTGGGTGAGCAGGGTGTGGGGACAGGTGGTGGGCCAGGAGGTGGGGAGGGCAGGGCAGAATTCCACGGGAGGTGGGGGTGGGCAGGTGGAGCCAAGTGGGAAAGGAAGGGTGGGGAACAGAGAGGAAGGGGCAAAGGGTAGTGGGTAGTCGAGTTGGCGTGAGCCTGGTAGCGGGTAATGAGAAGGTTGGGAGGCGGGGGGTGAGAACGTGGGAGGGCAGAGAGGGCACCGAAAGGAGGCGCTGTGGTAAATGCAGAATAGGATGCGGGGCCGGGAAACAGGGGATAGAGGGAATTGGGGAAACGATGAAGGGTGATAACTGCGGATGGGCGAGCCCCAGGGGGGAGGAAATATGGAGGGTGTTGGAGAAGGGGGAGACTGGGGGGGGTTGAGGTAGGGTGTTGGAGGGCACAAGGGGCAGGAACAGGGGGTGCAAAGGTTGGCTGGGGGAGGGAGAGGCGGTCTGGTGCCGCGGAAAGGCGGAGGGAGGTTGGGGACAGGCACAGCCCAGGGAGCAAAAGCAAGGGGTGTAGACCTTGGCTGGGGGTAGGAACGGCGGTGTGGAGTTAGGGAGAGGTAGAGGGAGGCTGGGGTAGGTGGCTGGATTGCGCAGGGAGCAGGGGCAGGGGGTGTAGAGATTGGATGGGGGTGGGAAAGGCGGCGTGGTGCCAGGTGGCGGCAGTTGGGTCACCGAAGGGCCTGGCAGGGCGGGATGCAGAGGTGCAGCCCACGCTGGATGCGGAAGTAGCTGGGGGGGAAAGGGAGGCTGGAGGGGGAAGTACGGCTCGTAGAGGTGTGGGGGGCAGAGTGGGAGTGGGGAAGGCAGGAGGGGGGGTGGAGGAGGGACGTTGTGGACAGGGGAGTGGGGGAACATGCGGGTGATGATAGGGAGAAGCCGGGGGGGGGGAGAAGGGGGAGGTGGTATGAAGTGGGCAAGGCTGACGCACGGGCAGGGCGCGGCGGTACTAAGGGCAGGGAGACGGGAGGCTGGGGGGAGAAAAGCCTGCTTGGGGGCGTGGTGGGGGATAAGGGGAAAGGGGCGGTAATGCTGGTGGGCGAAAGGGGAGGGTGTGGTGCAGTATGATGAAACAGAATGGGGGGGTGGCGGACTGGATGGGGCCCTGGAGGGTTGGGAAAACAAAGTGTAAGCTGCCTTTCTGATTTTTTTTCTGGTTTTTTTCCGATTTATATGAATTTTTTTTTTCTTCTTTGAAGTTGTTTCCCCTTATTTCCTACGGTTTCCAGAGACAGGGCGGCCTCTGCTAGCTAAGCGCCGTTAGGGAAAGAGGTTAGGTGGCGGGGTGGCTAAAGCGCGCGTGTGAGGGGGAAAGGGGCAGGTGTGAGCAGGAAGGTGAATATGTGGGTGGCGACGGGGTAAGATTACGACGTGTGGGTGGCATGCACGAGTGCGCGACGAGGCATGGCAGGGTGGGAGTGAGCAAAGGGGGAGTGGGGCAGCCTGTGTGCCCAACGTGGGCGGCTAAAACGCTCTAGGCAGAAAACGCGCTTCGGGAGGCGCGCAAGGGGAGGGCTGCTTAATCGCTACGAACGTAGCAATTTCGCCTCCCTCCGCGCTGCCTTTCCCTGGCGGTAAGCGCCCCGTGCGCGGTTCTGTCTACGTACGCGGCTAGATTGAACGGGCGGGGAAAATGAGTGCGTGACTAAACATGACAGGCGACGAGAAAGCGTGCTTGAAAACGCGCGGCTCTTCGAATTAGGGTTTCGATAAAGAAGGGCGCACTGAAAGGGAAGGAAGAATGCTAACTACGGGCGGAAGCTAAGCTCAGTGACTTCGAGAGAGGGAAACCGTGGGAAGAAAATCGGTAGTAGCTAATCGCTTCGAATAGAAAAGCCGTGGGCAGAAAAGAGCGGGGGGATAAGGGAGAGTGTCGAGAGAGGGGATGGGCGGGAACACCGTGTCTGGCGGAGTTGTGGTTGTGAGTCGCGCGCGCTGTTACACTCCGCGGGCGAACTTCGCGTCAACGCCCCACCTCCCGTTACACCGGCTGCAGCGCGTCCGCAGCCTTCCCGCGATGGCGGGGTCGAACGAGCAGGTTCCGTAACACCCCGCGAGTTCCGTTTCCGAGACTCCTGAGGGTCGCGCGCGAAACTCGCGACCCCCGTCCCGTCGAACTCGACAGTCGAAACTGGAAAACTAACCGTTGGAAACGCTTATAACTATAACATAAACAACTATCACAATCACTTTGTCCTTAAGCAACTCGAAATAGTAGGTTTGGGAGGCTCCTTAGTAGGCAGCCATGGCTAGGTAAGCTAGGTCAAGGTAAGAGCGCCGGTGGGCGAGAGCAGTACTGGGCTGGGTGACCTCCCGGGAAGTCCTCGTGTTGTACCCATTTATGCCCCTTGCTCGGCACGTGCCGGGGGAGGGGCAAGCGGGAAAAAGAAAGGACGATTTCAGCGCGTCCGATTTTTCTATTTTCGTTTTTTTGCCCGAACAACGACCCAGCGGGGTGGGGGGCCCCCGGGGAGGCTTGCTCGTGCGAAGAAACGCCCCGTGCGCACCACCCTTGGGCGGTTGGAAGCCGCGCACGGTCGCAGGGGTGGAGAGCGGAAACGGGCAGCCGGGGGAGGGTGGGGGCGGTTGGATGGGACTGGGGTGTACGGGGGGCAGGGGAGTTGAGGGGGCAAGGGGAGGGGCAGCAACGGGCAGGGGCTGGGCCAGCTGGGGGCACGGAAAAGGGGCGGGCAGAGGGTGAGCAGAGGGGCGAGCGATGCAAGGGAGGCACCATAGGGGGGAAACCAGTTGCACGGAGGTGGGAGGTGAGGGGCGTGCGAGGGGGTGGGAAAGGGGCAGGGAGGGGCAGAATGGGAGGATGTGGGTGGGGGGGTGGGGGAGGGGAGTGTGCGTGTGTGTGTATGAGAAAGAGAGAGAGGGAAAGGGAGGGGGGGAGAGAAGGGTGGGAGGGGGGCTGGTGGTGGGGATGGGCTGATGGTGGTAAGAGGGCAGCAGGGATGGGGAGAAGGGAGCGTAACGAGGGGAGAGCAAAGGGCAGGGGGGGAGGAAGGGAGGGGCAGGGAGGGAAGAGGCTGAACGTACAAAGGGGGGGAAACGAGGGGCATGGATGGTAGGAAACAAGGGCAGGGAGGGGAGAAGCAATGGGTGAGGGGAAAACAAGGGAGGGGCAGAGGGGGAGGGCAGGGAGGGAAGAAACGTGGGGCAGGGAGGGGAGAAGCCAAAGATAGGACCATGGGCAGGCGGGGGCAGGGAGGGAGCAAAGGAGAGGCACGGAGAAAGAAAGGGAGGCGCGGGGAGGGGAGAAACCGGGTGTGGGGGGGAGGAAAACGAGGGGCAGGGCGGGGAGGAGGGAGGGGCAGGGAGGGGAGAAGCTGAGCACACAGAGGGGGGAAAGGTGGGGCAGGGAGGTAGGAAGCCAAGGGCAAGGGGGGGAGAGTGGGGGGGCAGGGAGAGGGGGGAGGTGGGGGGCGGAGAAAGGCGGCGAGGGGCAGGGAGGGGAGAAACCAAGCATAGGGGGGCGAGATACGAGGGGCAGGGTGCGGATTGAGGAGGGGCAGGGAGTGGAGTGGGTCGGCGAGGGGAAGGAAGAGGCGTGCAGCAGAGGAGGGGAGGGGGGAGGAGAAGGTAAGCGAGGGGAGCGCACGGGCGGGGAGGAGCGAATGGCGGGCGGTGGGAAACGGCGAGGGGGGCAGGGAGGGTCAAAAGAGGCGGCAAGGGAGCGGGCACGCGGAGGGTAGGGGCGGGGGGAGCGGATGGCATGAGGGGGCAGGGGGTGTGACTATGAAGGGGGGACCCGGGCAAGGGGTGTGTACCGGTCGGGGCACGGGGTTGACGTGGTACGATCATACCTCGGCTACTACGCCGGATCCCATCAGAACTCCGAAGCTAAGCGCCGGTGGGCGAGAGCAGTTATTCATTAATAAGGGAAGAGCAAATACAAGCCGAATATAATGGTTTTTCCAAGACTAGGAAATTTCGACATAGCCTAATCGCTATGAGGACGGTATATATATTTTGTAGGAAAAGGGGGAAAGAAAGGAAAGGAAGGAAAGATGAAGGAGTAAGAAGAAGTGGTAGGGAAAGGAAGAGGGTGGTAGGAAGAGAAGGGAAGGATAGAAGAAGGGAACAGAAAGAGGGAGGTGGAAAGAGAAGAGGAGAGAGGGAGAGAGACTAAGGAGGAGGAAGCACCAAAGGACCAAACACGGCAGCAACCCGCACGACCGCACGGGCACAGCGTTTCAAGCACAGCCACTATTGTTTTTTACACATATGCATCATATATATACTGCATATCAGCCACACTCTCGAAGCACCCTGTGACGTGGTGCCAAGTTCCCTGCCCCGCACCCAGTGGGACTGGTGCGGGCATCCACCCGTCGTCGGACCTCCCTAACTGCCGCACCGCATGCTAGATCATGCATTGAGCCTGCGCGCGCTGCAGTGCAACGGAGAGGCGTGTAGTGAGTCCTGCCTCAAATATCCGTGCCGATCCGTCATCCCCCCACCTCTATCCCTCCTCCGCTGTGCTATCCTCTTTGCGCAGAGCCCCTGAAACTGACGCAGCGGCTCACTCAGAAGGCCAAAGGTCTCCGCCACGCACGCGTAAAAGTGTGGTGCCGGCTGCAGCCCCTCTAAGTGCGGCCCCCAGTGACGCAGCTTCTCCTGCACCCGCCTAGCTGCTGCCACTCCAATCTGTGTGGGGGTCGCCCGTCTCAGCTGCACGTTCCCCTCCCGCTGTGGATCCGCTATGGAGACATCCACAAGAACCATCAGACCCTGGCCAACGTCGCGGCAGGTGAGATCTGGAATGCGGGAGGCAGTGCCTACACGGCCTGTGCGTCCGACTGGTCCCTGCTGTTGCGCTGGCTGCTGCCCTGTCTGGTCCCTTGGTGCCCCCTCTCCGATCGTCTCTCTCCCCCTCTCCTCTCCTCCATCCACCTGTCCTCTCCCCTCCCCCTCTCTACCCTCCCCCAAACCTCCCGACCCCCCTGCTCCATCCCCTGCTGCCTCCCTCACTCCCTGGCCCTCCCCTCCCAATCCCGCTGCCCCTCCTGTACCTCCGTCCGCTCTCTGCTGCTCCCGCCCCTGCCCCGCCCCCAAGGCCGAACCTGGAGGCGCGGCGCCCTGGGCCCGCGGCCTCCACTGGCTCTCGTGCTGCTGCTTGTGCCGTCCCCCCTCCCCGTCCTGGCCCGTCTGCTCCCCCTGCCGTCCCCTCTGCCCACCTGTCCCTCGCTCCACCTGACCCCGCAGCTGGTGCCGTCCCCACTGTCCCCCGCCACCCGGCTGTCCCGCCTCGCCTCTCCGCTCCCCCGGTCCCTCAGCCCGTGTCCCCTCTCCCACCACTGGCTGTCCCAGTAGTCTCGCTCGAGCCGCCTCCAACTGTGTGAACAGCGTAGAGTCCTCCACCTTTACCGCGAAGCCCGCCTCGACCGCAAAGTCTCGAAGCATGTACTTCACCGTGTCGTGGATGGTAGTGGCGACCCCGTAGCGCGGGCACCGAACCGCGTGATGAGGCACCGTCATGTCGTCAATCGCCTGTCCGCAGGAGCACTGACCTGCAAGGGCTAACTGGGGGATAGGGAGACCAAGACGAGAAGATGAAGCCGCCTGCCACAGCGCCTCCGGGATGCGCAGTGGGATCGGCGTACGGCACCGACGTCAACCACGCCCCTGCACCTCCGCCCTGAAGGGAAGTCAAACGGGCAAGGTGCAAGGGAGAGGCGTGACGGGCACGCACGGCCTCCAAGGCATGCGCCTCCAGAAGACGGCTCGCTCCTGCAAAAAGGGAATCGGGGGAGGCAGAAGCGCAAGAGGGCCAGGGGGGAAGGAGAGAGAGAACGTCAGGTGGGAGACCCTCTAGCGCCGTCTGCAGAGCCCGGTCGATCTGCTCTGGCTCACCTGAAGCGAAGCTCTGCCGAAACACCTCGCCACACGCAGGGAGAGAACAGAGAATGGGTGCACACTGCACCCAGGAGCACACGAAGCTCACCGGGGCAATGCGCGCCATGCGACGAATGCCGAAACCCCCGAGACGGATGGGGAGGAAGATCTGGTCTAGGGCGGCCTCTCGGACGTCCTCGCGACAAGCCCAGGTCCCTGAAGCTAAAAGCTGCTGAAATGTCTCTCCCAGGCGTGCGTCCCACCGTGTAAAACTGGAGATCACTGCGGGCGAAGGAGGGACGGTCCTCGATAGGTACTGCAGACGAGTGCTGACACACGCCGAAAGGAGGCGGGCAGCTGTCTGGGGCTGGCGCAACCTTGGAAGCCAAGGTAGCACCCGCCCCATCCTCTCGAGACGATCCGGGAGACTCTGCTCCACGAACGAAACGGTGCCTACCGGTACGCCTGTCACGGTGAGCCCTCGGCGTGCGACCTCGATCCCTAGGCCCGTGAAAGCCTCCAGATCCCTGGACAGAAAGGACTCCGTCTGGTAGACGAGGCACTTGTGCGGCTGGGCTGCAAGGCCCATCTCGCCCAAGCGCCTCACGATCTCGGCAAAGTGGTGCAGCACCCTGTCTGGGGGACCTAGCACGTACGTGTCATCGGCGTACGACCAGAGCTGGACATCCCCCTCCGCCAGAACCGGCTCCAAAGCAAGACGCTGTGTCAGAGCGTACAAGAAGGGGCTGAGAGGGTCTCCCTGGCGAGTGCCCCGCTCCGAGTGCATCGTGACCACTCCCGTGCCTGACCTGTAGTGGAGATCCGAGGGCGTCCCGTAGAAGAGGCCGATGAAGGGGATCAGACACTGAAACTCCGGGCTGGCCTGCAGCGCCTGGAACATCCTGTCTCGGTGGAAAGAGTTAAAGGCATTCGCCACGTCTAGCTGCAAGACCACCCAGTCTGGGTGGTCAGCCAGGGCGCGGCGGACGCCTCTAACTACGACCTCTGTCCCGCACATAACCCCCACCCCAAACTGCTGTGACGCCAAGAAGACCCTCGCCATCTGGTCACGTAGCTGGAGACAGACTGCACGAGAAAGAATGCGGACCAAAACCTCGCCGATGGCAATCGGCCGAACATCCATGTTCGACTTTCGCCAGAGCCACGAGGGTGGAAGACGCTAGCAAGGAGCGTGCAGCTGGAGCGCAACGGCCTCGGAGCCACTGCTGGTACACGGCCAGGAGGAAATGGAGACTCTGAGGGAAAGCTAAGAAAGTGTCTCGCAGGTGCTCAGCGACCCAACCGGACGGTCCTCCCGAAGAGCCCCGCGGAGCTGTGAAAATCGCGCGGCGTAAGTGATCCACCGAGAGCACAAGAGGGGACCCCTGGAAGCCAGACAGCCAAGCTGGGGTCGGCCTCTCCGCGTTGGGGTGCTTCGACTGCAGGCGCTGTATCGTCCCCTGTGTATCTGGGGCTGCCTCCGCGGACTCGAGAGCCGCGCACGCCCGTGAGGTCTCATTGCACGCTGCCAGACGAAGGCAACGTGCAATGCGGCGCTCATCTGCTGTAGAGGGATCGGTGGCGGTGCGTGACCGGTGACCTGTGCGCCGAGGAAGGGGTGTGCGACGGCCTAGTGCATCTGAGACTAGCTCAGCCCACTCACCTCGACCAAAGCGGGAGATGCGCGCTGCAATGGCAGCCGTGTGCGAGCGGTCGGGTGGCGTCGCTGGAACAAGGAAAAGAGTCGGCGCTGCAGCGAGGAGGAAGGTAGGGCCAGCAGCCTCCGGGTCCTGGGCAATGCGGACTAGGATCGCACTGAGGACGTCAAGATATCCTCCGCGGACCCTCTCCGGGACACGTCGGAGAGGGCGTGTATGGATACGCTCGGGCGAGAAGTACTCTGTCCAGTCCACCGAGTCGAGCGTCTGCCACTGTGCGTCGGTGAACTGCATCCCGGTCGCACGGGGCTGTGAGAGGGAAGGGATGATTGAGGCGGTATCATGGGCAGCCTGCGCCCTGCGAGCCGCGTCCGCAGGATGGCAGAAGGGAATGTGGTGCTGGAGCGCGCGTCGGTTCGCGAGAGAGCTCCTGCAGGTGGGGCAACTCACGACCTGGTCGGGTGATGTCGCCGTGTCGGCGGGGTCAATCGGGGCCGTGGCGTCGGAACTGGCTGTAGAGGGGACCCCGTGGGCGGCCTGAGCTCCGAGAGGATCGCCTGGGATGAGGGGAGGAGACGGCTCACCAGCCCCGCGCGGGGGGGGTGTCAGCGAAGATAGAGGTGGTGTCGCACAGGATAGGGCCGGGCCTCGTGCCGGTACAGGTGTCAAAGCTGGGGAGGGGGGACGTGGAGGTGAGCCTGAAGTGTGTGCCGTGGTGTGCTCCTGCCCCTCGGCGGGGTGCGGTTCAAGTGACGGCTCTGCTACCCCAGGCGGAGGGGTCTCGGTAGGGGCGGATGCTTCATCCCTACTGCTGGTGACCTCGTGCGCCACGGGCTGAACGGGGGGAGGCGTCACCCCGTCTAGGTGCGAGTGACACGGCCTCAGAACCCGGTCCGTCTCCATTGGGGTCGGGAGTGACGCGCCTAGCTGAGTGGCGGGGGGGATAAAAGAAGGGACAGACCGGGTGACCTCCGCATACGTCCGGGTCCGGTCCTGTGGGACTGGAAGGGTGGGGGCAGCCGGAGAGCTGCTCAGGCGGTGTATCGCCAGCAAATCTGAAATGCCAGCCCTCACCTCCTCTGGGGTCTCGAAGACCTGCCTGCCTGTAGGTGAGAGTAGGAGGGCTGGCAGGGTAGAGGGTGGAGTGGGGCGTGCTGGCTGAGCGGAGCTCGGGTGTGGACCCTGCCCTAGAAGGCCCCCTTGGCCCTCCCCAATCACCATGGGTTGCGGTAGGGGGTCGTCGACATGGAAGGGGTGGGAGGGATGGGAGGGGGAGTCGGTGGCGTCTGCCATGGGCGCATCCCTCAACCCGACGGCCTCCCTCCCAGTAGCGATCGCGGCCGCCGCCACCTGGGAGGGGGACACAGCACGGGAGGGGCAGAATGGGGGTGAGTGGGCTGGACCGCTCCCATGGCCCTGTGGAGGTGCAGGAGCGGGGCGGGAGTGTAGGTTTGGTGGTCGGGCTGTAGAGGTAGGGCCTGGTAAGGGTTCAACGGGATGTGAGGTAGGGAGGGGCTCTTGGTGGGGGAGGGAGGGAGGGGGGAGTACGTGGGCTGACCCTCTGCCCCTGTTCTTCCGCCGGCGGCCAACCTGGTTGTCCGCGCCTGTTTGTGAAGGAAGGGGGGGCTGTGGGGCCAAAGGGGTGGGTGGAGGGAGGATGGGTGGTTCGCCAGGCGGGGGGTGCTCTGTGTGCATCCCCTCTCTCCTCGAAACATCCCCCTCCGTGGGAACAGATCGGGCAAGCTGTGTGTGGGGGGTGATGGCTGCCCAACGGGGCCACTCGTGGGGAACCCGGCCGGGAGAGGGGGTTGGAGGTGGGGGTCGAGGGGCTGGGCCAGTGTGGAGGTTAGAGCGAGGTACAAACGGTGGGGGGAGAGAGATTTGTGTGGGCCCTGTGGTGGCCTCTTCCTGTGGGCCCCTCTACCCGGGTGCCGCCGCTCCCATGAGCCTGGGGCGCAAGCCCTTGCGGGTGGGTCTCGGCTGCCTGGGGGGGGTGGTGTGGGGAGGGCAGCCTGTTGGGTGGGCGTGTTGGGGCTGTGCGGCGACTCGGGTGGTTTGGGTGCCTGTAGCGTGTGGGAGAGGGATTTGGCCGCAGAGATGCTTCAACCTCCGAGATGTGTGTACTACCGGGTGGGGGGGGGCCTGGTGGAGGAGGGGGTAGTGGGCCGGTCAGGGGGTGGCTGGGTGTTGGTAGGAGTCGGGGAGCATGGCTCCTCTAGGAAGACCAGAGCCCTGGCTGCTCCACGTGGTGCTCTAAGGAGCCCCTGAGGGTGGGGGCAGAGGTGTGCTGCCCTTGGGGGTGAAGGAAGGAGTGAGGGAAGGGGCGGGGAGGGGTGAGGGGTGAGAGAAGGGGTGCCCTCGGGTGGCTCTGCTCTTGTCGCACCCGCGTGCTCTCCCGGTGGACCGCCTGCAACCGTGGGGTCAGGCGTTGGGGACGGAGAGGGGGGCTGGCCATGGAGCACCGTGGGGGTCGGGGAGCACGGCTCCGCCAAGAAGGCCAGGGCCTTGGCTGCCCCCCCTGGACACTACCGGGACCTGAGGGTGGGGGTGGGGAAGTGGTGCTCCTGGGGGTGGGTGGGCTGGAGGACGGGAGGTGAGGATGGGGGCTCCCTCGCGCGGCTCTGTCCTCAAGGTCTCCCCCAGCCCCTCCATCGGTCCTTCTGCTAGCATGGGGACGGGCATGGGGGGTAGAGGGGGAACCTCGACGTGAGGCTGCAGGGGGGCCGGGTCGGCCTCACCGTCAAGCGTGAGGTATTGGGCCAGTGGCCCGTCAATGTGCATCACATCCTCTCCCTCATCCTCCTCTATCGCTATCACATCCCCCTCTTCAGTGCCCACCCCGGTCGGGACCACACTCACCTCTCCTTCCCCTGTTGCCCCTATGTCCCCCGAGCCCACCCCGCCTGCTGCCGCTTTACTGCTAGCCCCTTTTGCAGTCCTTGCCGGCCCTGCCGGCCCTGCTGTGTGTTTCCCCGCGTTTGCTGCGGCCCCTGCCGCCCCTACTGGCCGTGCTATGGCCCTCCCTGCTGCTTCAGCTGCAGCCTCACCTTCTGCCTTTGAGGCCACTGCTGTCCCCTCTCCCACTCTAGCCCCTGCCGTACCCTCTCTTGCTACAGCCGGGGCGGCACTCTCCCTCGCACCAGTCCCCGTTACCCCCTTCCCCGCTGCACCCGTAGCACCTCCCCCTATACCAGCCCCCACTGTGGCCTCTGTCGCTCCTGCTGCAGTCCTTGCAGCCTCGACTGCTGCAGTCTGTAAAACCTCGCCTACCGTAATCTGCTCAGCCTCACCAGCCGCGATCCCTGCAGCCTTGCCTGCCGCGGTCCCTGCAGGCTCACGTGCTGCAGTCCCTGCAGCCTCACCCGCTGCAGTCCCTGCGGCCTCACCTGCTGCAGTCTGTGCAGCCTCACCTGCTAGAATCTGCTCAACCTCACATGCTGCGGCCTCTGCAGCCTCACCTGCTGCGGCTATTTCAGCCTCACCTGCTGCGCTCCCTGCGGCCTCACCTGCCATGGTCCCGCCTGCAGCCTCATCCGCTGTGGTCCCTGCCGCCTCACCTGCTGCAGTCCCTGCGGCCTCACCTGTTGCAGTCCCTGCGACCTCACCAGCTGTAGACTGTGCAGCCTCACCTGCTAGAGTCTGCCCAACCTTACATGATGCAGCCCTCGCAGCCTCACCTGCTGCGTCCGCCGCAGTCTCACCTGCTGCGGCCCCTGCAGTCCCGCCTGCTGCGCTCCCTGCGGCCTCACCTGCTGCGCTCTCTGCAGCCTCACCTGCTGCGCCCCCTACAGCCTCACCTGCTGCGCTCCCTGCAGCCTCACCTACTGCGCTCCCTGCGGCCTCACCTGCCATGGTCCCTCCTGCAGCCTCACCTGTTGTGATCCCTGCAGCCACACCTGCTGTGGTCTGTGCGGCCTCACCTGGTGCGGTCCCTATAGCCTCCTCTGCTGCGGTTCCCCCAGCCGACACAGCAGCAGGTTCCGTGGCCCCTACTCCTGCAAAACCTGTCTCCATGGCCTCTGCCCCTTGCCTGGCCAGAGTCACGGTCCCTGCCGCCCCTTCCCGTGCAGCCCCTGCCGCCCTTTCCCGTGCAGCCGCTGCTGCCCCTTCCCTTGCAGCCTCTGCTGCCCTTTCCTCTGCAGCCTCTGCTGCCCCTTCCCCCACAACCCCCATTGCCCCTTCCCGTGCAGCCTTTGCTGCCCCATCCTCTGCAGCCTCTGCTGCTCCTTCACACACAAACTCACTTACCCCTTCTCGTGTAGTGTCAGCTGCAAGTTCCCCCCTGGCTCTGCCCTCTCCCGCTTCTATGTGCTTGGGGGTGCGGGTAGGATTAAGTGTTTTCACAAGTAATCTGGTTTGCGAATGGGAGGTAGCGAGTGAGTTGGAGGATCTCTCTACTGAGCATGCATGGGTGCCGCCCCCGCTGTCACCTGAAGGGGGGGTAGGCTGGGATGGGGCAGCGGGGGTAGGGCGCGGTTTTGAGCGTGCTGGCTCCTCCTCGTGTATTTCCTCCAGTGGGGCTTGGCGTTCCTCTGTTCCATCCTCTTCAAAGGTACGCTTCTGGCCCCATTTATGCCCCATTTATGCCCATTTATGCTCCAGTGGGCGAGAGCAGTACTGGGCTGGGTGACCTCCCGGGAAGTCCTCGTGTTGTACCCATTTATGCCCCTTGCTCGGCACGTGCCGGGGGAGGGGCAAGCGGGAAAAAGAAAGGACGATTTCAGCGCGTCCGATTTTTTGATTTCCGTTTTTTTGCCCGAACAACGACCCAGCGGGGTGAGGGACCCCCGGGGAGGCTTGCCCGTGCGAAGAAACGCCCAGTGCGCACCACCGTTGGGTGGTTGGAAGCCGCACACGGTCGCAAGGGGTGGAGAGCGGAAACGGGCAGCCGGGGGAGGGTGGGGGCGGTTGGATGGGACTGGGGTGTACGGGGGGCAGGGGAGTTGAGGGGGCAAGGGGAGGGGCAGCAACGGGCAGGGGCTGGGCCAGCTGAGGGCATGGAAAAGGGGCGGGCAGAGGGTGAGCAGAGGGGCGAGCGATGCAAGGGAGGCACCATAGGGGGGAAACCAGTTGCACGGAGGTGGGAGGTGAGGGGCGTGCGAGGGGGTGGGAAAGGGGCAGGGAGGGGCAGAATGGGAGGATGTGGGTGGGGGGGTGGGGGAGGGGAGTGTGCGTGTGTGTGTGTGAGAAAGAGAGAGAGGGAAAGGGAGGGGGGGAGAGAAGGGTGGGAGGGGGGCTGGTGGTGGGGATGGGCTGATGGTGGTAAGAGGGCAGCAGGGATGGGGAGAAGGGAGCGTAACGAGGGGAGAGCAAAGGGCAGGGGGGGAGGAAGGGAGGGGCAGGGAGGGAAGAGGCTGAACGTACAAAGGGGGGGAAACGAGGGGCATGGATGGTAGGAAACAAGGGCAGGGTGTGGGAAATCAAGGGCAGGGAGGAGAAGCAATGGGTGAGGGGAAAACAAGGGAGGGGCAGAGGGGGAGGGCAGGGAGGGAAGAAACGTGGGGCAGGGAGGGGAGAAGCCAAAGACAGGGGCATGGGCAGGCGGGGGCAGGGAGGGAGCAAAGGAGAGGCACGGAGAAAGAAAGGGAGGCGCGGGGAGGGGAGAAACCGGGTGTGGGGGGGGCGGAAAACGAGGGGCAGGGCGGGGAGGAGGGAGGGGCAGGGAGGGGAGAAGCTGAGCACACAGAGGGGGGAAAGGTGGGGCAGGGAGGTAGGAAGCCAAGGGCAAGGGGGGGGAGAGTGGGGGGGCAGGGAGAGGGGGGAGGTGGGGGGCGGAGAAAGGCGGCGAGGGGCAGGGAGGGGAGAAACCAAGCATAGGGGGGCGAGATACGAGGGGCAGGGTGCGGATTGAGGAGGGGCAGGGAGTGGAGTGGGTCGGCGAGGGGAAGGAAGAGGCGTGCAGCAGAGGAGGGGAGGGGGGAGGAGAAGGTAAGCGAGGGGAGCGCACGGGCGGGGAGGAGCGAATGGCGGGCGGTGGGAAACGGCGAGGGGGGCAGGGAGGGTCAAAAGAGGCGGCAAGGGAGCGGGCACGCGGAGGGTAGGGGCGGGGGGAGCGGATGGCATGAGGGGGCAGGGGGTGTGACTATGAAGGGGGGACCCGGGCAAGGGGTGTGTACCGGTCGGGGCACGGGGTTGACGTGGTACGATCATACCTCGGCTACTACGCCGGATCCCATCAGAACTCCGAAGCTAAGCGCCGGTGGGCGAGAGCTAGTTATTCATTAATAAGGGAAGAGCAAATACAAGCCGAATATAATGGTTTTTCCAAGACTAGGAAATTTCGACATAGCCTAATCGCTATGAGGACGGTATATATATTTTGTAGGAAAAGGGGGAAAGAAAGGAAAGGAAGGAAAGATGAAGGAGTAAGAAGAAGTGGTAGGGAAAGGAAGAGGGTGGTAGGAAGAGAAGGGAAGGATAGAAGAAGGGAACAGAAAGAGGGAGGTGGGAAGAGAAGAGGAGAGAGGGAGAGAGACTAAGGAGGAGGAAGCACCAAAGGACCAAACACGGCAGCAACCCGCACGACCGCACGGGCACAGCGTTTCAAGCACAGCCACTATTGTTTTTTACACATATGCATCATATATATACTGCATATCAGCCACACTCTCGAAGCACCCTGTGACGTGGTGCCAAGTTCCCTGCCCCGCACCCAGTGGGACTGGTGCGGGCATCCACCCGTCGTCGGACCTCCCTAACTGCCGCACCGCATGCTGGATCATGCATTGAGCCTGCGCGCGCTGCAGTGCAACGGAGAGGCGTGTAGTGAGTCCTGCCTCAAATATCCGTGCCGATCCGTCATCCCCCCCACCTCTATCCCTCCTCCGCTGTGCTATCCTCTTTGCGCAGAGCCCCAGAAACTGACGCAGCGGCTCACTCAGAAGGCCAAAGGTCTCCGCCACGCACGCGTAAAAGTGTGGTGCCGGCTGCAGCCCCTCTAAGTGCGGCCCCCAGTGACGCAGCTTCTCCTGCACCCGCCTAGCTGCTGCCACTCCAATCTGTGTGGGGGTCGCCCGTCTCAGCTGCACGTTCCCCTCCCGCTGTGGATCCGCTATGGAGACATCCACAAGAACCATCAGACCCTGGCCAACGTCGCGGCAGGTGAGATCTGGAATGCGGGAGGCGGTGCCTACACGGCCTGTGCGTCCGACTGGTCCCTGCTGTTGCGCTGGCTGCTGCCCTGTCTGGTCCCTTGGTGCCCCCTCTCCGATCGTCTCTCTCCCCCTCTCCTCTCCTCCATCCACCTGTCCTCTCCCCTCCCCCTCTCTACCCTCCCCCAAACCTCCCGACCCCCCTGCTCCATCCCCTGCTGCCTCTCTCACTCCCTGGCCCTCCCCTCCCAATCCCGCTGCCCCTCCTGTACCTCCGTCCGCTCTCTGCTGCTCCCGCCCCTGCCCCGCCCCCGAGGCCGAACCTGGAGGCGCGGCGCCCTGGGCCCGCGGCCTCCACTGGCTCTCCTGCTGCTGCCTGTGCCGTCCCCCCTCCCCGTCCTGGCCCGTCTGCTCCCCCTGCCGTCCCCTCTGCCCACCTGTCCCTCGCTCCACCTGACCCCGCAGCTGGTGCCGTCCCCACTGTCCCCCGCCACCCGGCTGTCCCGCCTCGCCTCTCCGCTCCCCCGGTCCCTCAGCCCGTGTCCCCTCTCCCACCACTGGCTGTCCCAGTAGTCTCGCTCGAGCCGCCTCCAACTGTGTGAACAGCGTAGAGTCCTCCACCTTTACCGCGAAGCCCGCCTCGACCGCAAAGTCTCGAAGCATGTACTTCACCGTGTCGTGGATGGTAGTGGCGACCCCGTAGCGCGGGCACCGAACCGCGTGATGAGGCACCGTCATGTCGTCAATCGCCTGTCCGCAGGAGCACTGACCTGCAAGGGCTAACTGGGGGATAGGGAGACCAAGACGAGAAGATGAAGCCGCCTGCCACAGCGCCTCCGGGATGCGCAGTGGGTCGGCGTACGGCACCGACGTCAACCACGCCCCTGCACCTCCGCCCTGAAGGGAAGTCAAACGGGCAAGGTGCAAGGGAGAGGCGTGACGGGCACGCACGGCCTCCAAGGCATGCGCCTCCAGAAGACGGCTCGCTCCTGCAAAAAGGGAATCGGGGGAGGCAGAAGCGCAAGAGGGCCAGGGGGGAAGGAGAGAGAGAACGTCAGGTGGGAGACCCTCTAGCGCCGTCTGCAGAGCCCGGTCGATCTGCTCTGGCTCACCTGAAGCGAAGCTCTGCCGAAACACCTCGCCACACGCAGGGAGAGAACAGAGAATGGGTGCACACTGCACCCAGGAGCACACGAAACTCACCGGGGCAATGCGCGCCATGCGACGAATGCCGAAACCCCCGAGACGGATGGGGAGGAAGATCTGGTCTAGGGCGGCCTCTCGGACGTCCTCGCGACAAGCCCAGGTCCCTGAAGCTAAAAGCTGCTGAAATGTCTCTCCCAGGCGTGCGTCCCACCGTGTAAAACTGGAGATCACTGCGGGCGAAGGAGGGACGGTCCTCGACAGGTACTGCGGACGAGTGCTGACACACGCCGAAAGGAGGCGGGCAGCTGTCTGGGGCTGGCGCAACCTCGGAAGCCAAGGTAGCACCCGCCCCATCCTCTCGAGACGATCCGGGAGACTCTGCTCCACGAACGAAACGGTGCCTACCGGTACGCCTGTCACGGTGAGCCCTCGGCGTGCGACCTCGATCCCTAGGCCCGTGAAAGCCTCCAGATCCCTGGACAGAAAGGACTCCGTCTGGTAGACGAGGCACTTGTGCGGCTGGGCTGCAAGGCCCATCTCGCCCAAGCGCCTCACGATCTCGGCAAAGTGGTGCAGCACCCTGTCTGGGGGACCTAGCACGTACGTGTCATCGGCGTACGACCAGAGCTGGACATCCCCCTCCGCCAAAACCGGCTCCAAAGCAAGACGCTGTGTCAGAGCGTACAAGAAGGGGCTGAGAGGGTCTCCCTGGCGAGTGCCCCGCTCCGAGTGCATCGTGACCACTCCCGTGCCTGACCTGTAGTGGAGATCCGAGGGCGTCCCGTAGAAGAGGCCGATGAAGGGGATCAGACACTGAAACTCCGGGCTGGCCTGCAGCGCCTGGAACATCCTGTCTCGGTGGAAAGAGTTAAAGGCATTCGCCACGTCTAGCTGCAGGACCACCCAGTCTGGGTGGTCAGCCAGGGCGCGGCGGACGCCTCTAACTACGACCTCTGTCCCGCACATAACCCCCACCCCAAACTGCTGTGACGCCAAGAAGACCCTCGCCATCTGGTCACGTAGCTGGAGACAGACTGCACGAGAAAGAATGCGGACCAAAACCTCGCCGATGGCAATCGGCCGAACATCCATGTTCGACTTCGCCAGAGCCACGAGGGTGGAAGACGCTAGCAAGGAGCGTGCAGCTAGAGCGCAACGGCCTCGGAGCCACTGCTGGTACACGGCCAGGAGGAAATGGAGACTCTAAGGGAAAGCTAAGAAAGTGTCTCGCAGGTGCTCAGCGACCCAACCGGACGGTCCTCCCGAAGAGCCCCGCGGAGCTGTGAAAATCGCGCGGCGTAAGTGATCCACCGAGAGCACAAGAGGGGACCCCTGGAAGCCAGACAGCCAAGCTGGGGTCGGCCTCTCCGCGTTGGGGTGCTTCGACTGCAGGCGCTGTATCGTCCCCTGTGTATCTGGGGCTGCCTCCGCGGACTCGAGAGCCGCGCACGCCCGTGAGGTCTCATTGCACGCTGCCAGACGAAGGCAACGTGCAATGCGGCGCTCATCTGCTGTAGAGGGATCGGTGGCGGTGCGTGACCGGTGACCTGTGCGCCGAGGAAGGGGTGTGCGACGGCCTAGTGCATCTGAGACTAGCTCAGCCCACTCACCTCGACCAAAGCAGGAGATGCGCGCTGCAATGGCAGCCGTGTGCGAGCGGTCGGGTGGCGTCGCTGGAACAAGGAAAAGAGTCGGCGCTGCAGCGAGGAGGAAGGTAGGGCCAGCAGCCTCCGGGTCCTGGGCAATGCGGACTAGGATCGCACTGAGGACGTCAAGATATCCTCCGCGGACCCTCTCCGGGACACGTCGGAGAGGGCGTGTATGGATACGCTCGGGCGAGAAGTACTCTGTCCAGTCCACCGAGTCGAGCGTCTGCCACTGTGCGTCGGTGAACTGCATCCCGGTCGCACGGGGCTGTGAGAGGGAAGGGATGATCGAGGCGGTATCATGGGCAGCCTGCGCCCTGCGAGCCGCGTCCGCAGGATGGCAGAAGGGAATGTGGTGCTGGAGCGCGCGTCGGTTCGCGAGAGAGCTCCTGCAAGGTGGGGCAACTCACGACCTGGTCGGGTGATGTCGCCGTGTCGGCGGGGTCAATCGGGGCCGTGGCGTCGGAACTGGCTGTAGAGGGGACCCCGTGGGCGGCCTGAGCTCCGAGAGGATCGCCTGGGATGAGGGGAGGAGACGGCTCACCAGCCCCGCGCGGGGGGGGTGTCAGCGAAGATAGAGGTGGTGTCGCACAGGATAGGGCCGGGCCTCGTGCCGGTACCGGTGTCGAAGCTGGGGAGGGGGGACGTGGAGGTGAGCCTGAAGTGTGTGCCGTGGTGTGCTCCTGCCCCTCGGCGGGGTGCGGTTCAAGTGACCGGCTCTGCTACCCCAGGCGGAGGGGTCTCGGTAGGGGCGGATGCCTCATCCCTACTGCTGGTGACCTCCTGCGCCACGGGCTGAACGGGGGGAGGCGCCACCCCGTCTAGGTGCGAGTGACACGGCCTCAGAACCCGGTCCGTCTCCATTGGGGTCGGGAGTGACGCGCCTAGCTGAGTGGCGGGGGGGATAAAAGAAGGGACAGACCGGGTGACCTCCGCATACGTCCGGGTCCGGTCCTGTGGGACTGGAAGGGTGGGGGCAGCCGGAGAGCTGCTCAGGCGGTGTATCGCCAGCAAATCTGAAATGCCAGCCCTCACCTCCTCTGGGGTCTCGAAGACCTGCCTGCCTGTAGGTGAGAGTAGGAGGGCTGGCAGGGTAGAGGGTGGAGTGGGGCGTGCTGGCTGAGCGGAGCTCGGGTGTGGACCCTGCCCTAGAAGGCCCCCTTGGCCCTCCCCAATCACCATGGGTTGCGGTAGGGGGTCGTCGACATGGAAGGGGTGGGAGGGATGGGAGGGGGAGTCGGTGGCGTCTGCCATGGGCGCATCCCTCAACCCGACGGCCTCCCTCCCAGTAGCGATCGCGGCCGCCGCCACCTGGGAGGGGGACACAGCACGGGAGGGGCAGAATGGGGGTGAGTGGGCTGGACCGCTCCCATGGCCCTGTGGAGGTGCAGGAGCGGGGCGGGAGTGTAGGTTTGGTGGTCGGGCTGTAGAGGTAGGGCCTGGTAAGGGTTCAACGGGATGTGAGGTAGGGAGGGGCTCTTGGTGGGGGAGGGAGGGAGGGGGGAGTACGTGGGCTGACCCTCTGCCCCTGTTCTTCCGCCGGCGGCCAACCTGGTTGTCCGCGCCTGTTTGTGAAGGAAGGGGGGGCTGTGGGGCCAAAGGGGTGGGTGGAGGGAGGATGGGTGGTTCGCCAGGCGGGGGGTGCTCTGTGTGCATCCCCTCTCTCCTCGAAACATCCCCCTCCGTGGGAACAGATCGGGCAAGCTGTGTGTGGGGGGTGATGGCTGCCCAACGGGGCCACTCGTGGGGAACCCGGCCGGGAGAGGGGGTTGGAGGTGGGGGTCGAGGGGCTGGGCCAGTGTGGAGGTTAGAGCGAGGTACAAACGGTGGGGGGAGAGAGATTTGTGTGGGCCCTGTGGTGGCCTCTCCTGTGGGCCCCTCTACCCGGGTGCCGCCGCTCCCATGAGCCTGGGGCGCAAGCCCTTGCGGGTGGGTCTCGGCTGCCTGGGGGGGGTGGTGTGGGGAGGGCAGCCTGTTGGGTGGGCGTGTTGGGGCTGTGCGGCGACTCGGGTGGTTTGGGTGCCTGTAGCGTGTGGGAGAGGGATTTGGCCGCAGAGATGCTTCAACCTCCGAGATGTGTGTACTACCGGGTGGGGGGGGGCCTGGTGGAGGAGGGGGTAGTGGGCCGGTAGGGGGTGGCTGGGTGTTGGTAGGAGTCGGGGAGCATGGCTCCTCTAGGAAGACCAGAGCCCTGGCTGCTCCACGTGGTGCTCTAAGGAGCCCCTGAGGGTGGGGGCAGAGGTGTGCTGCCCTTGGGGGTGAAGGAAGGAGTGAGGGAAGGGGCGGGGAGGGGTGAGGGGTGAGAGAAGGGGTGCCCTCGGGTGGCTCTGCTCTTGTCGCACCCGCGTGCTCTCCCGGTGGACCGCCTGCAACCGTGGGGTCAGGCGTTGGGGACGGAGAGGGGGGCTGGCCATGGAGCAGCGTGGGGGTCGGGGAGCACGGCTCCGCCAAGAAGGCCAGGGCCTTGGCTGCCCCCCTGGACACTACCGGGACCTGAGGGTGGGGGTGGGGAAGTGGTGCTCCTGGGGGTGGGTGGGCTGGAGGACGGGAGGTGAGGATGGGGGCTCCCTCGCGCGGCTCTGTCCTCAAGGTCTCCCCCAGCCCCTCCATCGGTCCTTCTGCTAGCATGGGGACGGGCATGGGGGGTAGAGGGGGAACCTCGACGTGAGGCTGCAGGGGGGCCGGGTCGGCCTCACCGTCAAGCGTGAGGTATTGGGCCAGTGGCCCGTCAATGTGCATCACATCCTCTCCCTCATCCTCCTCTATCGCTATCACATCCCCCTCTTCAGTGCCCACCCCGGTCGGGACCACACTCACCTCTCCTTCCCCTGTTGCCCCTATGTCCCCCGAGCCCACCCCGCCTGCTGCCGCTTTACTGCTAGCCCCTTTTGCAGTCCTCTGCCGGCCCTGCCGGCCCTGCTGTGTGTTTCCCCGCGTTTGCTGCGGCCCCTGCCGCCCCTACTGGCCGTGCTATGGCCCTCCCTGCTGCTTCAGCTGCAGCCTCACCTTCTGCCTTTGAGGCCACTGCTGTCCCCTCTCCCACTCTAGCCCCTGCCGTACCCTCTCTTGCTACAGCCGGGGCGGCACTCTCCCTCGCACCAGTCCCCGTTACCCCCTTCCCCGCTGCACCCGTAGCACCTCCCCCTATACCAGCCCCCACTGTGGCCTCTGTCGCTCCTGCTGCAGTCCTTGCAGCCTCGACTGCTGCAGTCTGTAAAACCTCGCCTACCGTAATCTGCTCAGCCTCACCAGCCGCGATCCCTGCAGCCTTGCCTGCCGCGGTCCCTGCAGGCTCACGTGCTGCAGTCCCTGCAGCCTCACCCGCTGCAGTCCCTGCGGCCTCACCTGCTGCAGTCTGTGCAGCCTCACCTGCTAGAATCTGCTCAACCTCACATGCTGCGGCCTCTGCAGCCTCACCTGCTGCGGCTATTTCAGCCTCACCTGCTGCGCTCCCTGCGGCCTCACCTGCCATGGTCCCGCCTGCAGCCTCATCCGCTGTGGTCCCTGCCGCCTCACCTGCTGCAGTCCCTGCGGCCTCACCTGTTGCAGTCCCTGCGACCTCACCAGCTGTAGACTGTGCAGCCTCACCTGCTAGAGTCTGCCCAACCTTACATGATGCAGCCCTCGCAGCCTCACCTGCTGCGTCCGCCGCAGTCTCACCTGCTGCGGCCCCATGCAGTCCCGCCTGCTGCGCTCCCTGCGGCCTCACCTGCTGCGCTCTCTGCAGCCTCACCTGCTGCGCCCCCTACAAGCCTCACCTGCTGCGCTCCCTGCAGCCTCACCTACTGCGCTCCCTGCGGCCTCACCTGCCATGGTCCCTCCTGCAGCCTCACCCGTTGTGATCCCTGCAGTCACACCTGCTGTGGTCTGTGCGGCCTCACCTGGTGCGGTCCCTATAGCCTCCTCTGCTGCGGTTCCCCCAGCCGACACAGCAGCAGGTTCCGTGGCCCCTACTCCTGCAAAACCTGTCTCCATGGCCTCTGCCCTTTGCCTGGCCAGAGTCACGGTCCCTGCCGCCCCTTCCCGTGCAGCCCCTGCCGCCCTTTCCCGTGCAGCCGCTGCTGCCCCTTCCCTTGCAGCCTCTGCTGCCCTTTCCTCTGCAGCCTCTGCTGCCCCTTCCCCCACAACCCCCATTGCCCCTTCCCGTGCAGCCTTTGCTGCCCCATCCTCTGCAGCCTCTGCTGCTCCTTCACACACAAACTCACTTACCCCTTCCCGTGCAGTGTCAGCTGCAAGTTCCCCCCTGGCTCTGCCCTCTCCCGCTTCTATGTGCTTGGGGGTGCGGGTAGGATTAAGTGTTTTCACAAGTAATCTGGTTTGCGAATGGGAGGTAGCGAGTGAGTTGGAGGATCTCTCTACTGAGCATGCATGGGTGCCGCCCCCGCTGTCACCTGAAGGGGGGGTAGGCTGGGATGGGGCAGCGGGGGTAGGGCGCGGTTTTGAGCGTGCTGGCTCCTCCTCAGTGTATTTCCTCCAGTGGGGCTTGGCGTTCCTCTGTTCCATCCTCTTCAAAGGTACGCTTCTGGCCCCTAGGGTCAGATTGTGTGAGTGTTTTCGCTTGGTCAGGTGTGTGTTGTTTCTTCCTGACTGTTGAAGTGGGGGGAAGTGGGAGAGTAGGGGGTGGCTCGGCTGCGGGACCTCCCAGATCGCCGAGGGGCTCCCGAGGTCTGCCTTTCCCCCACTCGCGGGGTGCTGGGGCATTGTTACAGAGGCAGCATGCCTAGGCGGTGGCGGTGTGAGTTGCTGGAGTTGGCTCAAGAGGGCGTCAAAGGGGGAAGGAACTCCCTGGCAGAGGCCGGGGTGCGGGGGGTTAGCTTGGGGAAAGGGGAAAAGGGTGGGGAAAGCGGTGCGCAGTGGGTGGAAGAGAGGGTAGAGGGGGCCTGACAGTTGGAGGGGATTGGGGCCCAAGGGGGGGGCGGGCTGGGGGCCGGTTGAGAGGGGAAGTGTTGGCGGGCTGTAGTGGAGGTGGGGGGGCAGGGGGTGATGTAGCGGTGGGTGAGCAGGGTGTGGGGACAGGTGGTGGGCCGGAGGTGGGGAGGGCAGGGCAGAATTCCACGGGAGGTGGGGGTGGGCAGGTGGAGCCAAGTGGGAAAGGAAGGGTGGGGAACAGAGAGGAAGGGGCAAAGGGTAGTGGGTAGTCGAGTTGGCGTGAGCCTGGTAGCGGGTAATGAGAAGGTTGGGAGGCGGGGGGTGAGAACGTGGGAGGGCAGAGAGGGCACCGAAAGGAGGCGCTGTGGTAAATGCAGAATAGGATGCGGGGCCGGGAAACAGGGGACAGAGGGAATTGGGGAAACGATGAAGGGTGATAACTGCGGATGGGCGAGCCCCAGGGGGGAGGAAATATGGAGGGTGTTGGAGAAGGGGGAGACTGGGGGGGGTTGAGGTAGGGTGTTGGAGGGCACAAGGGGCAGGAACAGGGGGTGCAAAGGTTGGCTGGGGGAGGGAGAGGCGGTCTGGTGCCGCGGAAAGGCGGAGGGAGGTTGGGGACGGCACAGCCCAGGGAGCAAAAGCAAGGGGTGTAGACCTTGGCTGGGGGTAGGAACGGCGGTGTGGAGTTAGGGAGAGGTAGAGGGAGGCTGGGGTAGGTGGCTGGATTGCGCAGGGAGCAGGGGCAGGGGGTGTAGAGATTGGATGGGGGTGGGAAAGGCGGCGTGGTGCCAGGTGGCGGCAGTTGGGTCACCGAAGGGCCTGGCAGGGCGGGATGCAGAGGTGCAGCCCACGCTGGATGCGGAAGTAGCTGGGGGGGAAAGGGAGGCTGGAGGGGGAAGTACGGCTCGTAGAGGTGTGGGGGGCAGAGTGGGAGTGGGGAAGGCAGGAGGGGGGGTGGAGGAGGGACGTTGTGGACAGGGGAGTGGGGGAACATGCGGGTGATGATAGGGAGAAGCCGGGGGGGGGGAGAAGGGGGAGGTGGTATGAAGTGGGCAAGGGTGACGCACGGGCAGGGCGCGGCGGTACTAAGGGCAGGGAGACGGGAGGCTGGGGGGAGAAAAGCCTGCTTGGGGGCGTGGTGGGGGATAAGGGGAAAGGGGCGGTAATGCTGGTGGGCGAAAGGGGAGGGTGTGGTGCAGTATGATGAAACAGAATGGGGGGGTGGCGGACTGGATGGGGCCCTGGAGGGTTGGGAGAACAAAGTGTAAGCTGCCTTTCTGATTTTTTTTCTGGTTTTTTTCCGATTTATATGAATATTTTTTTTTTCTTTGAAGTTGTTTCCCCTTATTTCCTACGGTTTCCAGAGACAGGGCGGCCTCTGCTAGCTAAGCGCCGTTAGGGAAAGAGGTTAGGTGGCGGGGTGGCTAAAGCGCGCGTGTGAGGGGGAAAGGGGCGGTGTGAGCAGGAAGGTGAATATGTGGGTGGCGACGGGGTAAGATTACGACGTGTGGGTGGCATGCACGAGTGCGCGACGAGGCATGGCAGGGTGGGAGTGAGCAAAGGGGGAGTGGGGCAGCCTGTGTGCCCAACGTGGGCGGCTAAAACGCTCTACGCAGAAAACAGCGCTTCGGGAGGCGCGCAAGGGGAGGGCTGCTTAATCGCTACTGAACGTAGCAATTTCGCCTCCCTCCGCGCTGCCTTTCCCTGGCGGTAAGCGCCCCGTGCGCGGTTCTGTCTACGTCGCGGCTAGATTGAACGGGCGGGGAAAATGAGTGCGTGACTAAACATGACAGGCGACGAGAAAGCGTGCTTGAAAACGCGCGGCTCTTCGAATTAGGGTTTCGATAAAGAAGGGCGCACTGAAAGGGAAGGAAGAATGCTAACTACGGGCGGAAGCTAAGCTCAGTGACTTCGAGAGAGGGAAACCGTGGGAAGAAAATCGGTAGTAGCTAATCGCTTCGAATAGAAAAGCCGTGGGCAGAAAAGAGCGGGGGGATAAGGGAGAGTGTCGAGAGAGGGGATGGGCGGGAACACCGTGTCTGGCGGAGTTGTGGTTGTGAGTCGCGCGCGCTGTTACACTCCGCGGGCGAACTTCGCGTCAACGCCCCACCTCCCGTTACACCGGCTGCAGCGCGTCCGCAGCCTTCCCGCGATGGCGGGGTCGAACGAGCGGTTCCGTAACACCCCGCGAGTTCCGTTTCCGAGACTCCTGAGGGTCGCGCGCGAAACTCGCGACCCCCGTCCCGTCGAACTCGACAGTCGAAACTGGAAAACTAACCGTTGGAAACGCTTATAACTATAACATAAACAACTATCACAATCACTTTGTCCTTAAGCAACTCGAAATAGTAGGTTTGGGAGGCTCCTTAGTAGGCAGCCATGGCTAGGTAAGCTAGGTCAAGGTAAGAGCGCCGGTGGGCGAGAGCAGTACTGGGCTGGGTGACCTCCCGGGAAGTCCTCGTGTTGTACCCATTTATGCCCCTTGCTCGGCACGTGCCGGGGGAGGGGCAAGCGGGAAAAAGAAAGGACGATTTCAGCGCGTCTGATTTTTCTATTTTCGTTTTTTTGCCCGAACAACGACCCAGCGGGGTGGGGGGCCCCCGGGGAGGCTTGCCCGTGCGAAGAAACGCCCCGTGCGCACCACCGTTGGGCGGTTGGAAGCCGCGCACGGTCGCGGGGGTGGAGAGCGGAAACGGGCAGCCGGGGGAGGGTGGGGGCGGTTGGATGGGACTGGGGTGTACGGGGGGCAGGGGAGTTGAGGGGGCAAGGGGAGGGGCAGCAACGGGCAGGGGCTGGGCCAGCTGGGGGCACGGAAAAGGGGCGGGCAGAGGGTGAGCAGAGGGGCGAGCGATGCAAGGGAGGCACCATAGGGGGGAAACCAGTTGCACGGAGGTGGGAGGTGAGGGGCGTGCGAGGGGGTGGGAAAGGGGCAGGGAGGGGCAGAATGGGAGGATGTGGGTGGGGGGGTGGGGGAGGGGAGTGTGCGTGTGTGTGTGTGAGAAAGAGATAGAGGGAAACGGAGGGGGGGAGAGAAGGGTGGGAGGGGGGCTGGTGGTGGGGATGGGCTGATGGTGGTAAGAGGGCAGCAGGGATGGGGAGAAGGGAGCGTAACGAGGGGAGAGCAAAGGGCAGGGGGGGAGGAAGGGAGGGGCAGGGAGGGAAGAGGCTGAACGTACAAAGGGGGGGAAACGAGGGGCATGGATGGTAGGAAACAAGGGCAGGGAGGGGAGAAGCAATGGGTGAGGGGAAAACAAGGGAGGGGCAGAGGGGGAGGGCAGGGAGGGAAGAAACGTGGGGCAGGGAGGGGAGAAGCCAAAGACAGGGGCATGGGCAGGCGGGGGCAGGGAGGGAAGAAACGTGGGGCAGGGAGGGGAGAAGCCAAAGACAGGACCATGGGCAGGCGGGGGCAGGGAGGGAGCAAAGGAGAGGCACGGAGAAAGAAAGGGAGGCGCGGGGAGGGAAGAAACCGGGTGTGGGGGGGAGGAAAACGAGGGGCAGGGCGGGGAGGAGGGAGGGGCAGGGAGGGGAGAAGCTGAGCACACAGAGGGGGGAAAGGTGGGGCAGGGAGGTAGGAAGCCAAGGGCAAGGGGGGGAGAGTGGGGGGGCAGGGAGAGGGGGGAGGTGGGGGGCGGAGAAAGGCGGCGAGGGGCAGGGAGGGGAGAAACCAAGCATAGGGGGGCGAGATACGAGGGGCAGGGTGCGGATTGAGGAGGGGCAGGGAGTGGAGTGGGTCGGCGAGGGGAAGGAAGAGGCGTGCAGCAGAGGAGGGGAGGGGGGAGGAGAAGGTAAGCGAGGGGAGCGCACGGGCGGGGAGGAGCGAATGGCGGGCGGTGGGAAACGGCGAGGGGGGCAGGGAGGGTCAAAAGAGGCGGCAAGGGAGCGGGCACGCGGAGGGTAGGGGCGGGGGGAGCGGATGGCATGAGGGGGCAGGGGGTGTGACTATGAAGGGGGGACCCGGGCAAGGGGTGTGTACCGGTCGGGGCACGGGGTTGACGTGGTACGATCATACCTCGGCTACTACGCCGGATCCCATCAGAACTCCGAAGCTAAGCGCCGGTGGGCGAGAGCAGTTATTCATTAATAAGGGAAGAGCAAATACAAGCCGAATATAATGGTTTTTCCAAGACTAGGAAATTTCGACATAGCCTAATCGCTATGAGGACGGTATATATATTTTGTAGGAAAAGGGGGAAAGAAAGGAAAGGAAGGAAAGATGAAGGAGTAAGAAGAAGTGGTAGGGAAAGGAAGAGGGTGGTAGGAAGAGAAGGGAAGGATAGAAGAAGGGAACAGAAAGAGGGAGGTGGGAAGAGAAGAGGAGAGAGGGAGAGAGACTAAGGAGGAGGAAGCACCAAAGGACCAAACACGGCAGCAACCCGCACGACCGCACGGGCACAGCGTTTCAAGCACAGCCACTATTGTTTTTTACACATATGCATCATATATATACTGCATATCAGCCACACTCTCGAAGCACCCTGTGACGTGGTGCCAAGTTCCCTGCCCCGCACCCAGTGGGACTGGTGCGGGCATCCACCCGTCGTCGGACCTCCCTAACTGCCGCACCGCATGCTGGATCATGCATTGAGCCTGCGCGCGCTGCAGTGCAACGGAGAGGCGTGTAGTGAGTCCTGCCTCAAATATCCGTGCCGATCCGTCATCCCCCCACCTCTATCCCTCCTCCGCTGTGCTATCCTCTTTGCGCAGAGCCCCAGAAACTGACGCATCGGCTCACTCAGAAGGCCAAAGGTCTCCGCCACGCACGCGTAAAAGTGTGGTGCCGGCTGCAGCCCCTCTAAGTGCGGCCCCCAGTGACGCAGCTTCTCCTGCACCCGCCTAGCTGCTGCCACTCCAATCTGTGTGGGGGTCGCCCGTCTCAGCTGCACGTTCCCCTCCCGCTGTGGATCCGCTATGGAGACATCCACAAGAACCATCAGACCCTGGCCAACGTCGCGGCAGGTGAGATCTGGAATGCGGGAGGCGGTGCCTACACGGCCTGTGCGTCCGACTGGTCCCTGCTGTTGCGCTGGCTGCTGCCCTGTCTGGTCCCTTGGTGCCCCCTCTCCGATCGTCTCTCTCCCCCTCTCCTCTCCTCCATCCACCTGTCCTCTCCCCTCCCCCTCTCTACCCTCCCCCAAACCTCCCGACCCCCCTGCTCCATCCCCTGCTGCCTCTCTCACTCCCTGGCCCTCCCCTCCCAATCCTGCTGCCCCTCCTGTACCTCCGTCCGCTCTCTGCTGCTCCCGCCCCTGCCCCGCCCCCGAGGCCGAACCTGGAGGCGCGGCGCCCTGGGCCCGCGGCCTCCACTGGCTCTCCTGCTGCTGCCTGTGCCGTCCCCCCTCCCCGTCCTGGCCCGTCTGCTCCCCCTGCCGTCCCCTCTGCCCACCTGTCCCTCGCTCCACCTGACCCCGCAGCTGGTGCCGTCCCCACTGTCCCCCGCCACCCGGCTGTCCCGCCTCGCCTCTCCGCTCCCCCGGTCCCTCAGCCCGTGTCCCCTCTCCCACCACTGGCTGTCCCAGTAGTCTCGCTCGAGCCGCCTCCAACTGTGTGAACAGCGTAGAGTCCTCCACCTTTACCGCGAAGCCCGCCTCGACCGCAAAGTCTCGAAGCATGTACTTCACCGTGTCGTGGATGGTAGTGGCGACCCCGTAGCGCGGGCACCGAACCGCGTGATGAGGCACCGTCATGTCGTCAATCGCCTGTCCGCAGGAGCACTGACCTGCAAGGGCTAACTGGGGGATAGGGAGACCAAGACGAGAAGATGAAGCCGCCTGCCACAGCGCCTCCGGGATGCGCAGTGGGTCGGCGTACGGCACCGACGTCAACCACGCCCCTGCACCTCCGCCCTGAAGGGAAGTCAAACGGGCAAGGTGCAAGGGAGAGGCGTGACGGGCACGCACGGCCTCCAAGGCATGCGCCTCCAGAAGACGGCTCGCTCCTGCAAAAAGGGAATCGGGGGAGGCAGAAGCGCAAGAGGGCCATGGGGGGAAGGAGAGAGAGAACGTCAGGTGGGAGACCCTCTAGCGCCGTCTGCAGAGCCCGGTCGATCTGCTCTGGCTCACCTGAAGCGAAGCTCTGCCGAAACACCTCGCCACACGCAGGGAGAGAACAGAGAATGGGTGCACACTGCACCCAGGAGCACACGAAACTCACCGGGGCAATGCGCGCCATGCGACGAATGCCGAAACCCCCGAGACGGATGGGGAGGAAGATCTGGTCTAGGGCGGCCTCTCGGACGTCCTCGCGACAAGCCCAGGTCCCTGAAGCTAAAAGCTGCTGAAATGTCTCTCCCAGGCGTGCGTCCCACCGTGTAAAACTGGAGATCACTGCGGGCGAAGGAGGGACGGTCCTCGACAGGTACTGCTGGACGAGTGCTGACACACGCCGAAAGGAGGCGGGCAGCTGTCTGGGGCTGGCGCAACCTCGGAAGCCAAGGTAGCACCCGCCCCATCCTCTCGAGACGATCCGGGAGACTCTGCTCCACGAACGAAACGGTGCCTACCGGTACGCCTGTCACGGTGAGCCCTCGGCGTGCGACCTCGATCCCTAGGCCCGTGAAAGCCTCCAGATCCCTGGACAGAAAGGACTCCGTCTGGTAGACGAGGCACTTGTGCGGCTGGGCTGCAAGGCCCATCTCGCCCAAGCGCCTCACGATCTCGGCAAAGTGGTGCAGCACCCTGGCTGGGGGACCTAGCACGTACGTGTCATCGGCGTACGACCAGAGCTGGACATCCCCCTCCGCCAGAACCGGCTCCAAAGCAAGACGCTGTGTCAGAGCGTACAAGAAGGGGCTGAGAGGGTCTCCCTGGCGAGTGCCCCGCTCCGAGTGCATCGTGACCACTCCCGTGCCTGACCTGTAGTGGAGATCCGAGGGCGTCCCGTAGAAGAGGCCGATGAAGGGGATCAGACACTGAAACTCCGGGCTGGCCTGCAGCGCCTGGAACATCCTGTCTCGGTGGAAAGAGTTAAAGGCATTCGCCACGTCTAGCTGCAGGACCACCCAGTCTGGGTGGTCAGCCAGGGCGCGGCGGACGCCTCTAACTACGACCTCTGTCCCGCACATAACCCCCACCCCAAACTGCTGTGACGCCAAGAAGACCCTCGCCATCTGGTCACGTAGCTGGAGACAGACTGCACGAGAAAGAATGCGGACCAAAACCTCGCCGATGGCAATCGGCCGAACATCCATGTTCGACTTCGCCAGAGCCACGAGGGTGGAAGACGCTAGCAAGGAGCGTGCAGCTGGAGCGCAACGGCCTCGGAGCCACTGCTGGTACACGGCCAGGAGGAAATGGAGACTCTGAGGGAAAGCTAAGAAAGTGTCTCGCAGGTGCTCAGCGACCCAACCGGACGGTCCTCCCGAAGAGCCCCGCGGAGCTGTGAAAATCGCGCGGCGTAAGTGATCCACCGAGAGCACAAGAGGGGACCCCTGGAAGCCAGACAGCCAAGCTGGGGTCGGCCTCTCCGCGTTGGGGTGCTTCGACTGCAGGCGCTGTATCGTCCCCTGTGTATCTGGGGCTGCCTCCGCGGACTCGAGAGCCGCGCACGCCCGTGAGGTCTCATTGCACGCTGCCAGACGAAGGCAACGTGCAATGCGGCGCTCATCTGCTGTAGAGGGATCGGTGGCGGTGCGTGACCGGTGACCTGTGCGCCGAGGAAGGGGTGTGCGACGGCCTAGTGCATCTGAGACTAGCTCAGCCCACTCACCTCGACCAAAGCGGGAGATGCGCGCTGCAATGGCAGCCGTGTGCGAGCGGTCGGGTGGCGTCGCTGGAACAAGGAAAAGAGTCGGCGCTGCAGCGAGGAGGAAGGTAGGGCCAGCAGCCTCCGGGTCCTGGGCAATGCGGACTAGGATCGCACTGAGGACGTCAAGATATCCTCCGCGGACCCTCTCCGGGACACGTCGGAGAGGGCGTGTATGGATACGCTCGGGCGAGAAGTACTCTGTCCAGTCCACCGAGTCGAGCGTCTGCCACTGTGCAGTCGGTGAACTGCATCCCGGTCGCACGGGGCTGTGAGAGGGAAGGGATGATCGAGGCGGTATCATGGGCAGCCTGCGCCCTGCGAGCCGCGTCCGCAGGATGGCAGAAGGGAATGTGGTGCTGGAGCGCGCGTCGGTTCGCGAGAGAGCTCCTGCAGGTGGGGCAACTCACGACCTGGTCGGGTGATGTCGCCGTGTCGGCGGGGTCAATCGGGGCCGTGGCGTCGGAACTGGCTGTAGAGGGGACCCCGTGGGCGGCCTGAGCTCCGAGAGGATCGCCTGGGATGAGGGGAGGAGACGGCTCACCAGCCCCGCGCGGGGGGGGTGTCAGCGAAGATAGAGGTGGTGTCGCACAGGATAGGGCCGGGCCTCGTGCCGGTACCGGTGTCGAAGCTGGGGAGGGGGGACGTGGAGGTGAGCCTGAAGTGTGTGCCGTGGTGTGCTCCTGCCCCTCGGCGGGGTGCGGTTCAAGTGACGGCTCTGCTACCCCAGGCGGAGGGGTCTCGGTAGGGGCGGATGCCTCATCCCTACTGCTGGTGACCTCCTGCGCCACGGGCTGAACGGGGGGAGGCGCCACCCCGTCTAGGTGCGAGTGACACGGCCTCAGAACCCGGTCCGTCTCCATTGGGGTCGGGAGTGACGCGCCTAGCTGAGTGGCGGGGGGGATAAAAGAAGGGACAGACCGGGTGACCTCCGCATACGTCCGGGTCCGGTCCTGTGGGACTGGAAGGGTGGGGGCAGCCGGAGAGCTGCTCAGGCGGTGTATCGCCAGCAAATCTGAAATGCCAGCCCTCACCTCCTCTGGGGTCTCGAAGACCTGCCTGCCTGTAGGTGAGAGTAGGAGGGCTGGCAGGGTAGAGGGTGGAGTGGGGCGTGCTGGCTGAGCGGAGCTCGGGTGTGGACCCTGCCCTAGAAGGCCCCCTTGGCCCTCCCCAATCACCATGGGTTGCGGTAGGGGGTCGTCGACATGGAAGGGGTGGGAGGGATGGGAGGGGGAGTCGGTGGCGTCTGCCATGGGCGCATCCCTCAACCCGACGGCCTCCCTCCCAGTAGCGATCGCGGCCGCCGCCACCTGGGAGGGGGACACAGCACGGGAGGGGCAGAATGGGGGTGAGTGGGCTGGACCGCTCCCATGGCCCTGTGGAGGTGCAGGAGCGGGGCGGGAGTGTAGGTTTGGTGGTCGGGCTGTAGAGGTAGGGCCTGGTAAGGGTTCAACGGGATGTGAGGTAGGGAGGGGCTCTTGGTGGGGGAGGGAGGGAGGGGGGAGTACGTGGGCTGACCCTCTGCCCCTGTTCTTCCGCCGGCGGCCAACCTGGTTGTCCGCGCCTGTTTGTGAAGGAAGGGGGGGCTGTGGGGCCAAAGGGGTGGGTGGAGGGAGGATGGGTGGTTCGCCAGGCGGGGGGTGCTCTGTGTGCATCCCCTCTCTCCTCGAAACATCCCCCTCCGTGGGAACAGATCGGGCAAGCTGTGTGTGGGGGGTGATGGCTGCCCAACGGGGCCACTCGTGGGGAACCCGGCCGGGAGAGGGGGTTGGAGGTGGGGGTCGAGGGGCTGGGCCAGTGTGGAGGTTAGAGCGAGGTACAAACGGGTGGGGGGAGAGAGATTTGTGTGGGCCCTGTGGTGGCCTCTCCTGTGGGCCCCTCTACCCGGGTGCCGCCGCTCCCATGAGCCTGGGGCGCAAGCCCTTGCGGGTGGGTCTCGGCTGCCTGGGGGGGGTGGTGTGGGGAGGGCAGCCTGTTGGGTGGGCGTGTTGGGGCTGTGCGGCGACTCGGGTGGTTTGGGTGCCTGTAGCGTGTGGGAGAGGGATTTGGCCGCAGAGATGCTTCAACCTCCGAGATGTGTGTACTACCGGGTGGGGGGGGGCCTGGTGGAGGAGGGGGTAGTGGGCCGGTAGGGGGTGGCTGGGTGTTGGTAGGAGTCGGGGAGCATGGCTCCTCTAGGAAGACCAGAGCCCTGGCTGCTCCACGTGGTGCTCTAAGGAGCCCCTGAGGGTGGGGGCAGAGGTGTGCTGCCCTTGGGGGTGAAGGAAGGAGTGAGGGAAGGGGCGGGGAGGGGTGAGGGGTGAGAGAAGGGGTGCCCTCGGGTGGCTCTGCTCTTGTCGCACCCGCGTGCTCTCCCGGTGGACCGCCTGCAACCGTGGGGTCAGGCGTTGGGGACGGAGAGGGGGGCTGGCCATGGAGCAGCGTGGGGGTCGGGGAGCACGGCTCCGCCAAGAAGGCCAGGGCCTTGGCTGCCCCCCTGGACACTACCGGGACCTGAGGGTGGGGGTGGGGAAGTGGTGCTCCTGGGGGTGGGTGGGCTGGAGGACGGGAGGTGAGGATGGGGGCTCCCTCGCGCGGCTCTGTCCTCAAGGTCTCCCCCAGCCCCTCCATCGGTCCTTCTGCTAGCATGGGGACGGGCATGGGGGGTAGAGGGGGAACCTCGACGTGAGGCTGCAGGGGGGCCGGGTCGGCCTCACCGTCAAGCGTGAGGTATTGGGCCAGTGGCCCGTCAATGTGCATCACATCCTCTCCCTCATCCTCCTCTATCGCTATCACATCCCCCTCTTCAGTGCCCACCCCGGTCGGGACCACACTCACCTCTCCTTCCCCTGTTGCCCCTATGTCCCCCGAGCCCACCCCGCCTGCTGCCGCTTTACTGCTAGCCCCTTTTGCAGTCCCTGCCGGCCCTGCCGGCCCTGCTGTGTGTTTCCCCGCGTTTGCTGCGGCCCCTGCCGCCCCTACTGGCCGTGCTATGGCCCTCCCTGCTGCTTCAGCTGCAGCCTCACCTTCTGCCTTTGAGGCCACTGCTGTCCCCTCTCCCACTCTAGCCCCTGCCGTACCCTCTCTTGCTACAGCCGGGGCGGCACTCTCCCTCGCACCAGTCCCCGTTACCCCCTTCCCCGCTGCACCCGTAGCACCTCCCCCTATACCAGCCCCCACTGATGGCCTCTGTCGCTCCTGCTGCAGTCCTTGCAGCCTTCGACTGCTGCAGTCTGTAAAACCTCGCCTACCGTAATCTGCTCAGCCTCACCAGCCGCGATCCCTGCAGCCTTGCCTGCCGCGGTCCCTGCAGGCTCACGTGCTGTAGTCCCTGCAGCCTCACCCGCTGCAGTCCCTGCGGCCTCACCTGCTGCAGTCTGTGCAGCCTCACCTGCTAGAATCTGCTCAACCTCACATGCTGCGGCCTCTGCAGCCTCACCTGCTGCGGCTATTTCAGCCTCACCTGCTGCGCTCCCTGCGGCCTCACCTGCCATGGTCCCGCCTGCAGCCTCATCCGCTGTGGTCCCTGCCGCCTCACCTGCTGCAGTCCCTGCGGCCTCACCTGTTGCAGTCCCTGCGACCTCACCAGCTGTAGACTGTGCAGCCTCACCTGCTAGAGTCTGCCCAACCTTACATGATGCAGCCCTCGCAGCCTCACCTGCTGCGTCCGCCGCAGTCTCACCTGCTGCGGCCCCTGCAGTCCCGCCTGCTGCGCTCCCTGCGGCCTCACCTGCTGCGCTCTCTGCAGCCTCACCTGCTGCGCCCCCTACAGCCTCACCTGCTGCGCTCCCTGCAGCCTCACCTACTGCGCTCCCTGCGGCCTCACCTGCCATGGTCCCTCCTGCAGCCTCACCCGTTGTGATCCCTGCAGCCACACCTGCTGTGGTCTGTGCGGCCTCACCTGGTGCGGTCCCTATAGCCTCCTCTGCTGCGGTTCCCCCAGCCGACACAGCAGCAGGTTCCGTGGCCCCTACTCCTGCAAAACCTGTCTCCATGGCCTCTGCCCTTTGCCTGGCCAGAGTCACGGTCCCTGCCGCCCCTTCCCGTGCAGCCCCTGCCGCCCTTTCCCGTGCAGCCGCTGCTGCCCCTTCCCTTGCAGCCTCTGCTGCCCTTTCCTCTGCAGCCTCTGCTGCCCCTTCCCCCACAACCCCCATTGCCCCTTCCCGTGCAGCCTTTGCTGCCCCATCCTCTGCAGCCTCTGCTGCTCCTTCACACACAAACTCACTTACCCCTTCCCGTGCAGTGTCAGCTGCAAGTTCCCCCCTGGCTCTGCCCTCTCCCGCTTCTATGTGCTTGGGGGTGCGGGTAGGATTAAGTGTTTTCACAAGTAATCTGGTTTGCGAATGGGAGGTAGCGAGTGAGTTGGAGGATCTCTCTACTGAGCATGCATGGGTGCCGCCCCCGCTGTCACCTGAAGGGGGGGTAGGCTGGGATGGGGCAGCGGGGGTAGGGCGCGGTTTTGAGCGTGCTGGCTCCTCCTCGTGTATTTCCTCCAGTGGGGCTTGGCGTTCCTCTGTTCCATCCTCTTCAAAGGTACGCTTCTGGCCCCTAGGGTCAGATTGTGTGAGTGTTTTCGCTTGGTCAGGTGTGTGTTGTTTCTTCCTGACTGTTGAAGTGGGGGGAGTGGGAGAGTAGGGGGTGGCTCGGCTGCGGGACCTCCCAGATCGCCGAGGGGCTCCCGAGTCTGCCTTTCCCCCACTCGCGGGGTGCTGGGGCATTGTTACAGAGGCAGCATGCCTGGCGGTGGCGGTGTGAGTTGCTGGAGTTGGCTCAAGAGGGCGTCAAAGGGGGAAGGAACTCCCTGGCAGAGGCCGGGGTGCGGGGGGTTAGCTTGGGGAAAGGGGAAAAGGGTGGGGAAAGCGGTGCGCAGTGGGTGGAAGAGAGGGTAGAGGGGGCCTGACAGTTGGAGGGGATTGGGGCCCAAGGGGGGGGCGGGCTGGGGGCCGGTTGAGAGGGGAAGTGTTGGCGGGCTGTAGTGGAGGTGGGGGGGCGGGGGTGATGTAGCGGTGGGTGAGCAGGGTGTGGGGACAGGTGGTGGGCCGGAGGTGGGGAGGGCAGGGCAGAATTCCCCTTATTTCCTACGGTTTCCAGAGACAGGGCGGCCTCTGCTAGCTAAGCGCCGTTAGGGAAAGAGGTTAGGTGGCGGGGTGGCTAAAGCGCGCGTGTGAGGGGGAAAGGGGCGGTGTGAGCAGGAAGGTGAATATGTGGGTGGCGACGGGGTAAGATTACGACGTGTGGGTGGCATGCACGAGTGCGCGACGAGGCATGGCAGGGTGGGAGTGAGCAAAGGGGGAGTGGGGCAGCCTGTGTGCCCAACGTGGGCGGCTAAAACGCTCTAGGCAGAAAACGCGCTTCGGGAGGCGCGCAAGGGGAGGGCTGCTTAATCGCTACGAACGTAGCAATTTCGCCTCCCTCCGCGCTGCCTTTCCCTGGCGGTAAGCGCCCCGTTCGCGGTTCTGTCTACGTCGCGGCTAGATTGAACGGGCGGGGAAAATGAGTGCGTGACTAAACATGACAGGCGACGAGAAAGCGTGCTTGAAAACGCGCGGCTCTTCGAATTAGGGTTTCGATAAAGAAGGGCGCACTGAAAGGGAAGGAAGAATGCTAACTACGGGCGGAAGCTAAGCTCAGTGACTTCGAGAGAGGGAAACCGTGGGAAGAAAATCGGTAGTAGCTAATCGCTTCGAATAGAAAAGCCGTGGGCAGAAAAGAGCGGGGGGATAAGGGAGAGTGTCGAGAGAGGGGATGGGCGGGAACACCGTGTCTGGCGGAGTTGTGGTTGTGAGTCGCGCGCGCTGTTACACTCCGCGGGCGAACTTCGCGTCAACGCCCCACCTCCCGTTACACCGGCTGCAGCGCGTCCGCAGCCTTCCCGCGATGGCGGGGTCGAACGAGCGGTTCCGTAACACCCCGCGAGTTCCGTTTCCGAGACTCCTGAGGGTCGCGCGCGAAACTCGCGACCCCCGTCCCGTCGAACTCGACAGTCGAAACTGGAAAACTAACCGTTGGAAACGCTTATAACTATAACATAAACAACTATCACAATCACTTTGTCCTTAAGCAACTCGAAATAGTAGGTTTGGGAGGCTCCTTAGTAGGCAGCCATGGCTAGGTAAGCTAGGTCAAGGTAAGAGCGCCTGTGGGCGAGAGCAGTACTGGGCTGGGTGACCTCCCGGGAAGTCCTCGTGTTGTACCCATTTATGCCCCTTGCTCGGCACGTGCCGGGGGAGGGGCAAGCGGGAAAAAGAAAGGACGATTTCAGCGCGTCCGATTTTTCTATTTTCGTTTTTTTGCCCGAACAACGACCCAGCGGGGTGGGGGGCCCCCGGGGAGGCTTGCCCGTGCGAAGAAACGCCCCGTGCGCACCACCGTTGGGCGGTTGGAAGCCGCACACGGTCGCGGGGGTGGAGAGCGGAAACTGGGCAGCCGGGGGAGGGTGGGGGCGGTTGGATGGGACTGGGGTGTACGGGGGGCAGGGGAGTTGAGGGGGCAAGGGGAGGGGCAGCAACGGGCAGGGGCTGGGCCAGCTGAGGGCACGGAAAAGGGGCGGGCAGAGGGTGAGCAGAGGGGCGAGCGATGCAAGGGAGGCACCATAGGGGGGAAACCAGTTGCACGGAGGTGGGAGGTGAGGGGCGTGCGAGGGGGTGGGAAAGGGGCAGGGAGGGGCAGAATGGGAGGATGTGGGTGGGGGGTGGGGGAGGGGAGTGTGCGTGTGTGTGTGTGAGAAAGAGAGAGAGGGAAAGGGAGGGGGGGAGAGAAGGGTGGGAGGGGGGCTGGTGGTGGGGATGGGCTGATGGTGGTAAGAGGGCAGCAGGGATGGGGAGAAGGGAGCGTAACGAGGGGAGAGCAAAGGGCAGGGGGGGAGGAAGGGAGGGGCAGGGAGGGAAGAGGCTGAACGTACAAAGGGGGGGAAACGAGGGGCATGGATGGTAGGAAACAAGGGCAGGGGTGCGGGAAATCAAGGGCAGGGAGGGGAGAAGCAATGGGTGAGGGGAAAACAAGGGAGGGGCAGAGGGGGGGACAGGGAGGGAAGAAACGTGGGGCAGGGAGGGGAGAAGTCAAAGACAGGGGCATGGGCAGGCGGGGGCAGGGAGGGAGCAAAGGAGAGGCACGGAGAAAGAAAGGGAGGCGCGGGGAGGGGAGAAACCGGGCGTGGGGGGGGCGGAAACGAGGGGCAGGGCGGGGAGGAGGGAGGGGCAGGGAGGGGAGAAGCTGAGCACACGGAGGGGGGAAAGGTGGGGCAGGGAGGTAGGAAGCCAAGGGCAAGGGGGGGAGAGTGGGGGGGGGCAGGGAGAGGGGGGAGGTGGGGGGCGGAGAAAGGCGGCGAGGGGCAGGGAGGGGAGAAACCAAGCATAGGGGGGCGAGATACGAGGGGCAGGGTGCGGATTGAGGAGGGGCAGGGAGTGGAGTGGGTCGGCGAGGGGAAGGAAGAGGCGTGCAGCAGAGGAGGGGAGGGGGGAGGAGAAGGTAAGCGAGGGGAGCGCACGGGCGGGGAGGAGCGAATGGCGGGCGGTGGGAAACGGCGAGGGGGGCAGGGAGGGTCAAAAGAGGCGGCAAGGGAGCGGGCACGCGGAGGGTAGGGGCGGGGGGAGCGGATGGCATGAGGGGGCAGGGGGTGTGACTATGAAGGGGGGACCCGGGCAAGGGGTGTGTACCGGTCGGGGCACGGGGTTGACGTGGTACGATCATACCTCGGCTACTACGCCGGATCCCATCAGAACTCCGAAGCTAAGCGCCGGTGGGCGAGAGCAGTTATTCATTAATAAGGGAAGAGCAAATACAAGCCGAATATAATGGTTTTTCCAAGACTAGGAAATTTCGACATAGCCTAATCGCTATGAGGACGGTATATATATTTTGTAGGAAAAGGGGGAAAGAAAGGAAAGGAAGGAAAGATGAAGGAGTAAGAAGAAGTGGTAGGGAAAGGAAGAGGGTGGTAGGAAGAGAAGGGAAGGATAGAAGAAGGGAACAGAAAGAGGGAGGTGGGAAGAGAAGAGGAGAGAGGGAGAGAGACTAAGGAGGAGGAAGCACCAAAGGACCAAACACGGCAGCAACCCGCACGACCGCACGGGCACAGCGTTTCAAGCACAGCCACTATTGTTTTTTACACATATGCATCATATATATACTGCATATCAGCCACACTCTCGAAGCACCCTGTGACGTGGTGCCAAGTTCCCTGCCCCGCACCCAGTGGGACTGGTGCGGGCATCCACCCGTCGTCGGACCTCCCTAACTGCCGCACCGCATGCTGGATCATGCATTGAGCCTGCGCGCGCTGCAGTGCAACGGAGAGGCGTGTAGTGAGTCCTGCCTCAAATATCCGTGCCGATCCGTCATCCCCCCCACCTCTATCCCTCCTCCGCTGTGCTATCCTCTTTGCGCAGAGCCCCAGAAACTGACGCAGCGGCTCACTCAGAAGGCCAAAGGTCTCCGCCACGCACGCGTAAAAGTGTGGTGCCGGCTGCAGCCCCTCTAAGTGCGGCCCCCAGTGACGCAGCTTCTCCTGCACCCGCCTAGCTGCTGCCACTCCAATCTGTGTGGGGGTCGCCCGTCTCAGCTGCACGTTCCCCTCCCGCTGTGGATCCGCTATGGAGACATCCACAAGAACCATCAGACCCTGGCCAACGTCGCGGCAGGTGAGATCTGGAATGCGGGAGGCGGTGCCTACACGGCCTGTGCGTCCGACTGGTCCCTGCTGTTGCGCTGGCTGCTGCCCTGTCTGGTCCCTTGGTGCCCCCTCTCCGATCGTCTCTCTCCCCCTCTCCTCTCCTCCATCCACCTGTCCTCTCCCCTCCCCCTCTCTACCCTCCCCCAAACCTCCCGACCCCCCTGCTCCATCCCCTGCTGCCTCTCTCACTCCCTGGCCCTCCCCTCCCAATCCCGCTGCCCCTCCTGTACCTCCGTCCGCTCTCTGCTGCTCCCGCCCCTGCCCCGCCCCGAGGCCGAACCTGGAGGCGCGGCGCCCTGGGCCCGCGGCCTCCACTGGCTCTCCTGCTGCTGCCTGTGCCGTCCCCCCTCCCCGTCCTGGCCCGTCTGCTCCCCCTGCCGTCCCCTCTGCCCACCTGTCCCTCGCTCCACCTGACCCCGCAGCTGGTGCCGTCCCCACTGTCCCCCGCCACCCGGCTGTCCCGCCTCGCCTCTCCGCTCCCCCGGTCCCTCAGCCCGTGTCCCCTCTCCCACCACTGGCTGTCCCAGTAGTCTCGCTCGAGCCGCCTCCAACTGTGTGAACAGCGTAGAGTCCTCCACCTTTACCGCGAAGCCCGCCTCGACCGCAAAGTCTCGAAGCATGTACTTCACCGTGTCGTGGATGGTAGTGGCGACCCCGTAGCGCGGGCACCGAACCGCGTGATGAGGCACCGTCATGTCGTCAATCGCCTGTCCGCAGGAGCACTGACCTGCAAGGGCTAACTGGGGGATAGGGAGACCAAGACGAGAAGATGAAGCCGCCTGCCACAGCGCCTCCGGGATGCGCAGTGGGTCGGCGTACGGCACCGACGTCAACCACGCCCCTGCACCTCCGCCCTGAAGGGAAGTCAAACGGGCAAGGTGCAAGGGAGAGGCGTGACGGGCACGCACGGCCTCCAAGGCATGCGCCTCCAGAAGACGGCTCGCTCCTGCAAAAAGGGAATCGGGGGAGGCAGAAGCGCAAGAGGGCCAGGGGGGAAGGAGAGAGAGAACGTCAGGTGGGAGACCCTCTAGCGCCGTCTGCAGAGCCCGGTCGATCTGCTCTGGCTCACCTGAAGCGAAGCTCTGCCGAAACACCTCGCCACACGCAGGGAGAGAACAGAGAATGGGTGCACACTGCACCCAGGAGCACACGAAACTCACCGGGGCAATGCGCGCCATGCGACGAATGCCGAAACCCCCGAGACGGATGGGGAGGAAGATCTGGTCTAGGGCGGCCTCTCGGACGTCCTCGCGACAAGCCCAGGTCCCTGAAGCTAAAAGCTGCTGAAATGTCTCTCCCAGGCGTGCGTCCCACCGTGTAAAACTGGAGATCACTGCGGGCGAAGGAGGGACGGTCCTCGACAGGTACTGCGGACGAGTGCTGACACACGCCGAAAGAAGGCGGGCAGCTGTCTGGGGCTGGCGCAACCTCGGAAGCCAAGGTAGCACCCGCCCCATCCTCTCGAGACGATCCGGGAGACTCTGCTCCACGAACGAAACGGTGCCTACCGGTACGCCTGTCACGGTGAGCCCTCGGCGTGCGACCTCGATCCCTAGGCCCGTGAAAGCCTCCAGATCCCTGGACAGAAAGGACTCTGTCTGGTAGACGAGGCACTTGTGCGGCTGGGCTGCAAGGCCCATCTCGCCCAAGCGCCTCACGATCTCGGCAAAGTGGTGCAGCACCCTGTCTGGGGGACCTAGCACGTACGTGTCATCGGCGTACGACCAGAGCTGGACATCCCCCTCCGCCAGAACCGGCTCCAAAGCAAGACGCTGTGTCAGAGCGTACAAGAAGGGGATGAGAGGGTCTCCCTGGCGAGTGCCCCGCTCCGAGTGCATCGTGACCACTCCCGTGCCTGACCTGTAGTGGAGATCCGAGGGCGTCCCGTAGAAGAGGCCGATGAAGGGGATCAGACACTGAAACTCCGGGCTGGCCTGCAGCGCCTGGAACATCCTGTCTCGGTGGAAAGAGTTAAAGGCATTCGCCACGTCTAGCTGCAGGACCACCCAGTCTGGGTGGTCAGCCAGGGCGCGGCGGACGCCTCTAACTACGACCTCTGTCCCGCACATAACCCCCACCCCAAACTGCTGTGACGCCAAGAAGACCCTCGCCATCTGGTCACGTAGCTGGAGACAGACTGCACGAGAAAGAATGCGGACCAAAACCTCGCCGATGGCAATCGGCCGAACATCCATGTTCGACTTCGCCAGAGCCACGAGGGTGGAAGACGCTAGCAAGGAGCGTGCAGCTGGAGCGCAACGGCCTCGGAGCCACTGCTGGTACACGGCCAGGAGGAAATGGAGACTCTGAGGGAAAGCTAAGAAAGTGTCTCGCAGGTGCTCAGCGACCCAACCGGACGGTCCTCCCGAAGAGCCCCGCGGAGCTGTGAAAATCGCGCGGCGTAAGTGATCCACCGAGAGCACAAGAGGGGACCCCTGGAAGCCAGACAGCCAAGCTGGGGTCGGCCTCTCCGCGTTGGGGTGCTTCGACTGCAGGCGCTGTATCGTCCCCTGTGTATCTGGGGCTGCCTCCGCGGACTCGAGAGCCGCGCACTGCCCGTGAGGTCTCATTGCACGCTGCCAGACGAAGGCAACGTGCAATGCGGCGCTCATCTGCTGTAGAGGGATCGGTGGCGGTGCGTGACCGGTGACCTGTGCGCCGAGGAAGGGGTGTGCGACGGCCTAGTGCATCTGAGACTAGCTCAGCCCACTCACCTCGACCAAAGCGGGAGATGCGCGCTGCAATGGCAGCCGTGTGCGAGCGGTCGGGTGGCGTCGCTGGAACAAGGAAAAGAGTCGGCGCTGCAGCGAGGAGGAAGGTAGGGCCAGCAGCCTCCGGGTCCTGGGCAATGCGGACTAGGATCGCACTGAGGACGTCAAGATATCCTCCGCGGACCCTCTCCGGGACACGTCGGAGAGGGCGTGTATGGATACGCTCGGGCGAGAAGTACTCTGTCCAGTCCACCGAGTCGAGCGTCTGCCACTGTGCGTCGGTGAACTGCATCCCGGTCGCACGGGGCTGTGAGAGGGAAGGGATGATCGAGGCGGTATCATGGGCAGCCTGCGCCCTGCGAGCCGCGTCCGCAGGATGGCAGAAGGGAATGTGGTGCTGGAGCGCGCGTCGGTTCGCGAGAGAGCTCCTGCAGGTGGGGCAACTCACGACCTGGTCGGGTGATGTCGCCGTGTCGGCGGGGTCAATCGGGGCCGTGGCGTCGGAACTGGCTGTAGAGGGGACCCCGTGGGCGGCCTGAGCTCCGAGAGGATCGCCTGGGATGAGGGGAGGAGACGGCTCACCAGCCCCGCGCGGGGGGGGTGTCAGCGAAGATAGAGGTGGTGTCGCACAGGATAGGGCCGGGCCTCGTGCCGGTACCGGTGTCGAAGCTGGGGAGGGGGGACGTGGAGGTGAGCCTGAAGTGTGTGCCGTGGTGTGCTCCTGCCCCTCGGCGGGGTGCGGTTCAAGTGACGGCTCTGCTACCCCAGGCGGAGGGGTCTCGGTAGGGGCGGATGCCTCATCCCTACTGCTGGTGACCTCCTGCGCCACGGGCTGAACGGGGGGAGGCGCCACCCCGTCTAGGTGCGAGTGACACGGCCTCAGAACCCGGTCCGTCTCCATTGGGGTCGGGAGTGACGCGCCTAGCTGAGTGGCGGGGGGGATAAAAGAAGGGACAGACCGGGTGACCTCCGCATACGTCCGGGTCCGGTCCTGTGGGACTGGAAGGGTGGGGGCAGCCGGAGAGCTGCTCAGGCGGTGTATCGCCAGCAAATCTGAAATGCCAGCCCTCACCTCCTCTGGGGTCTCGAAGACCTGCCTGCCTGTAGGTGAGAGTAGGAGGGCTGGCAGGGTAGAGGGTGGAGTGGGGCGTGCTGGCTGAGCGGAGCTCGGGTGTGGACCCTGCCCTAGAAGGCCCCCTTGGCCCTCCCCAATCACCATGGGTTGCGGTAGGGGGTCGTCGACATGGAAGGGGTGGGAGGGATGGGAGGGGGAGTCGGTGGCGTCTGCCATGGGCGCATCCCTCAACCCGACGGCCTCCCTCCCAGTAGCGATCGCGGCCGCCGCCACCTGGGAGGGGGACACAGCACGGGAGGGGCAGAATGGGGGTGAGTGGGCTGGACCGCTCCCATGGCCCTGTGGAGGTGCAGGAGCGGGGCGGGAGTGTAGGTTTGGTGGTCGGGCTGTAGAGGTAGGGCCTGGTAAGGGTTCAACGGGATGTGAGGTAGGGAGGGGCTCTTGGTGGGGGAGGGAGGGAGGGGGGAGTACGTGGGCTGACCCTCTGCCTCCCTGCCCCTGTTCTTCCGCCGGCGGCCAACCTGGTTGTCCGCGCCTGTTTGTGAAGGAAGGGGGGGCTGTGGGGCCAAAGGGGTGGGTGGAGGGAGGATGGGTGGTTCGCCAGGCGGGGGGTGCTCTGTGTGCATCCCCTCTCTCCTCGAAACATCCCCCTCCGTGGGAACAGATCGGGCAAGCTGTGTGTGGGGGGTGATGGCTGCCCAACGGGGCCACTCGTGGGGAACCCGGCCGGGAGAGGGGGTTGGAGGTGGGGGTCGAGGGGCTGGGCCAGTGTGGAGGTTAGAGCGAGGTACAAACGGTGGGGGGAGAGAGATTTGTGTGGGCCCTGTGGTGGCCTCTCCTGTGGGCCCCTCTACCCGGGTGCCGCCGCTCCCATGAGCCTGGGGCGCAAGCCCTTGCGGGTGGGTCTCGGCTGCCTGGGGGGGGTGGTGTGGGGAGGGCAGCCTGTTGGGTGGGCGTGTTGGGGCTGTGCGGCGACTCGGGTGGTTTGGGTGCCTGTAGCGTGTGGGAGAGGGATTTGGCCGCAGAGATGCTTCAACCTCCGAGATGTGTGTACTACCGGGTGGGGGGGGGCCTGGTGGAGGAGGGGGTAGTGGGCCGGTAGGGGGTGGCTGGGTGTTGGTAGGAGTCGGGGAGCATGGCTCCTCTAGGAAGACCAGAGCCCTGGCTGCTCCACGTGGTGCTCTAAGGAGCCCCTGAGGGTGGGGGCAGAGGTGTGCTGCCCTTGGGGGTGAAGGAAGGAGTGAGGGAAGGGGCGGGGAGGGGTGAGAGGTGAGAGAAGGGGTGCCCTCGGGTGACTCTGCTCTTGTCGCACCCGCGTGCTCTCCCGGTGGACCGCCTGCAACCGTGGGGTCAGGCGTTGGGGACGGAGAGGGGGGCTGGCCATGGAGCAGCGTGGGGGTCGGGGAGCACGGCTCCGCCAAGAAGGCCAGGGCCTTGGCTGCCCCCCTGGACACTACCGGGACCTGAGGGTGGGGGTGGGGAAGTGGTGCTCCTGGGGGTGGGTGGGCTGGAGGACGGGAGGTGAGGATGGGGGCTCCCTCGCGCGGCTCTGTCCTCAAGGTCTCCCCCAGCCCCTCCATCGGTCCTTCTGCTAGCATGGGGACGGGCATGGGGGGTAGAGGGGGAACCTCGACGTGAGGCTGCAGGGGGGCCGGGTCGGCCTCACCGTCAAGCGTGAGGTATTGGGCCAGTGGCCCGTCAATGTGCATCACATCCTCTCCCTCATCCTCCTCTATCGCTATCACATCCCCCTCTTCAGTGCCCACCCCGGTCGGGACCACACTCACCTCTCCTTCCCCTGTTGCCCCTATGTCCCCCGAGCCCACCCCGCCTGCTGCCGCTTTACTGCTAGCCCCTTTTGCAGTCTCTGCCGGCCCTGCCGGCCCTGCTGTGTGTTTCCCCGCGTTTGCTGCGGCCCCTGCCGCCCCTACTGGCCGTGCTATGGCCCTCCCTGCTGCTTCAGCTGCAGCCTCACCTTCTGCCTTTGAGGCCACTGCTGTCCCCTTCTCCCACTCTAGCCCCTGCCGTACCCTCTCTTGCTACAGCCGGGGCGGCACTCTCCCTCGCACCAGTCCCCGTTACCCCCTTCCCCGCTGCACCCGTAGCACCTCCCCCTATACCAGCCCCCACTGTGGCCTCTGTCGCTCCTGCTGCAGTCCTTGCAGCCTCGACTGCTGCAGTCTGTAAAACCTCGCCTACCGTAATCTGCTCAGCCTCACCAGCCGCGATCCCTGCAGCCTTGCCTGCCGCGGTCCCTGCAGGCTCACGTGCTGCAGTCCCTGCAGCCTCACCCGCTGCAGTCCCTGCGGCCTCACCTGCTGCAGTCTGTGCAGCCTCACCTGCTAGAATCTGCTCAACCTCACATGCTGCGGCCTCTGCAGCCTCACCTGCTGCGGCTATTTCAGCCTCACCTGCTGCGCTCCCTGCGGCCTCACCTGCCATGGTCCCGCCTGCAGCCTCATCCGCTGTGGTCCCTGCCGCCTCACCTGCTGCAGTCCCTGCGGCCTCACCTGTTGCAGTCCCTGCGACCTCACCAGCTGTAGACTGTGCAGCCTCACCTGCTAGAGTCTGCCCAACCTTACATGATGCAGCCCTCGCAGCCTCACCTGCTGCGTCCGCCGCAGCCTCACCTGCTGCGGCCCTGCCCGCCTGCTGCGCTCCCTGCAGCCTCGCCTGCTGCGCTCCTGCAGCCTGCTGCTGCGCTCCCTGCGGCCTCACCTGCTGCGCTCTCTGCAGCCTCACCTGCTGCGCCCCCTACAGCCTCACCTGCTGCGCTCCCTGCAGCCTCACCTACTGCGCTCCCTGCGGCCTCACCTGCCATGGTCCCTCCTGCAGCCTCACCCGTTGTGATCCCTGCAGCCACACCTGCTGTGGTCTGTGCGGCCTCACCTGGTGCGGTCCCTATAGCCTCCTCTGCTGCGGTTCCCCCAGCCGACACAGCAGCAGGTTCCGTGGCCCCTACTCCTGCAAAACCTGTCTCCATGGCCTCTGCCCTTTGCCTGGCCAGAGTCACGGTCCCTGCCGCCCCTTCCCGTGCAGCCCCTGCCGCCCTTTCCCGTGCAGCCGCTGCTGCCCCTTCCCTTGCAGCCTCTGCTGCCCTTTCCTCTGCAGCCTCTGCTGCCCCTTCCCCCACAACCCCCATTGCCCCTTCCCGTGCAGCCTTTGCTGCCCCATCCTCTGCAGCCTCTGCTGCTCCTTCACACACAAACTCACTTACCCCTTCCCGTGCAGTGTCAGCTGCAAGTTCCCCCCTGGCTCTGCCCTCTCCCGCTTCTATGTGCTTGGGGGTGCGGGTAGGATTAAGTGTTTTCACAAGTAATCTGGTTTGCGAATGGGAGGTAGCGAGTGAGTTGGAGGATCTCTCTACTGAGCATGCATGGGTGCCGCCCCCGCTGTCACCTGAAGGGGGGGTAGGCTGGGATGGGGCAGCGGGGGTAGGGCGCGGTTTTGAGCGTGCTGGCTCCTCCTCGTGTATTTCCTCCAGTGGGGCTTGGCGTTCCTCTGTTCCATCCTCTTCAAAGGTACGCTTCTGGCCCCTAGGGTCAGATTGTGTGAGTGTTTTCGCTTGGTCAGGTGTGTGTTGTTTCTTCCTGACTGTTGAAGTGGGGGGAGTGGGAGAGTAGGGGGTGGCTCGGCTGCGGGACCTCCCAGATCGCCGAGGGGCTCCCGGGTCTGCCTTTCCCCCACTCGCGGGGTGCTGGGGCATTGTTACAGAGGCAGCATGCCTGGCGGTGGCGGTGTGAGTTGCTGGAGTTGGCTCAAGAGGGCGTCAAAGGGGGAAGGAACTCCCTGGCAGAGGCCGGGGTGCGGGGGGTTAGCTTGGGGAAAGGGGAAAAGGGTGGGGAAAGCGGTGCGCAGTGGGTGGAAGAGAGGGTAGAGGGGGCCTGACAGTTGGAGGGGATTGGGGCCCAAGGGGGGGGGCGGGCTGGGGGCCGGTTGAGAGGGGAAGTGTTGGCGGGCTGTAGTGGAGGTGGGGGGGGCGGGGGTGATGTAGCGGTGGGTGAGCAGGGTGTGGGGACAGGTGGTGGGCCGGAGGTGGGGAGGGCAGGGCAGAATTCCACGGGAGGTGGGGGTGGGCAGGTGGAGCCAAGTGGGAAAGGAAGGGTGGGGAACAGAGAGGAAGGGGCAAAGGGTAGTGGGTAGTCGAGTTGGCGTGAGCCTGGTAGCGGGTAATGAGAAGGTTGGGAGGCGGGGGGTGAGAACGTGGGAGGGCAGAGAGGGCACCGAAAGGAGGCGCTGTGGTAAATGCAGAATAGGATGCGGGGCCGGGAAACAGGGGACAGAGGGAATTGGGGAATCGATGAAGGGTGATAACTGCGGATGGGCGAGCCCCAGGGGGGAGGAAATATGGAGGGTGTTGGAGAAGGGGGAGACTGGGGGGGGTTGAGGTAGGGTGTTGGAGGGCACAAGGGGCAGGAACAGGGGGTGCAAAGGTTGGCTGGGGGAGGGAGAGGCGGTCTGGTGCCGCGGAAAGGCGGAGGGAGGTTGGGGACGGCACAGCCCAGGGAGCAAAAGCAAGGGGTGTAGACCTTGGCTGGGGGTAGGAACGGCGGTGTGGAGTTAGGAGAGGTAGAGGGAGGCTGGGGTAGGTGGCTGGATTGCGCAGGGAGCAGGGGCAGGGGGTGTAGAGATTGGATGGGGGTGGGAAAGGCGGCGTGGTGCCAGGTGGCGGCAGTTGGGTCACCGAAGGGCCTGGCAGGGCGGGATGCAGAGGTGCAGCCCACGCTGGATGCGGAAGTAGCTGGGGGGGAAAGGGAGGCTGGAGGGGGAAGTACGGCTCGTAGAGGTGTGGGGGGCAGAGTGGGAGTGGGGAAGGCAGGAGGGGGGGTGGAGGAGGGACGTTGTGGACAGGGGAGTGGGGGAACATGCGGGTGATGATAGGGAGAAGCCGGGGGGGGGGAGAAGGGGGAGGTGGTATGAAGTGGGCAAGGGTGACGCACGGGCAGAGCGCGGCGGTACTAAGGGCAGGGAGACGGGGAGGCTGGGGGGAGAAAAGCCTGCTTGGGGGCGTGGTGGGGGATAAGGGGAAAGGGGCGGTAATGCTGGTGGGCGAAAGGGGAGGGTGTGGTGCAGTATGATGAAACAGAATGGGGGGGTGGCGGACTGGATGGGCCCTGGAGGGTTGGGAGAACAAGGTGTAAGCTGCCTTTCTGATTTTTTTCTGGTTTTTTTCCGATTTATATGATATATATATATTATTATTTTTCTTGAAGTTGTTTCCTCTTATTTCCTACGGTTTCCAGAGACAGGGCGGCCTCTGCTAGCTAAGCGCCGTTAGGGAAAGAGGTTAGGTGGCGGGGTGGCTAAAGCGCGCGTGTGAGGGGGAAAGGGGCGGTGTGAGCAGGAAGGTGAATATGTGGGATGGCGACGGGGTAAGATTACGACGTGTGGGTGGCATGCACGAGTGCTGCGACGAGGCATGGCAGGGTGGGAGTGAGCAAAGGGGGAGTGGGGCAGGCTTGTGTGCCCAAACGTGGGCGGCTAAAACGCTCTACGCAGAAAACGCGCTTCGGGAGGCGCGCAAGGGGAGGGCTGCTTAATCGCTACGAACGTAGCAATTTCGCCTCCCTCCGCGCTGCCTTTCCCTGGCGGTAAGCGCCCCGTGCGCGGTTCCGTCTACGTCGCGGCTAGATTGAACGGGCGGGGAAAACTGAGTGCGTGACTAAACATGATAGGCGACGAGGAAAGCGTGCTTGAAAACGCGCGGCTCTTCGAATTAGGGTTTCGATAAAGAAGGGCGCACTGAAAGGGAAGGAAGAAGTGCTAACTACGGGCGGAAGCTAAGCTCAGTGACTTCGAGAGAGGGAAACCGCTGGAAGAAAAATCGGTAGCAGCTAATCGCTTCGAATAGAAAAAGCCAAGTGGCATAAAGAGCGAGGGGGATAAGGGAGAGTGTCGAGAGAGGGGATGGGCGGGAACACCGTGTCTGGCGGAGTTGTGGTTGTGAGTCGCGCGCGCTGTTACACTCCGCGGTGCGAACTTCGCGTCAACGCCCCACCTCCCGTTACACCGGCTGCAGCGCGTCCGCAGCCTTCCCGCGATGGCGGGGTCGAACGAGCGGTTCCGTAACACCCGCGAGTTCCGTTTCCGAGACTCCTAAGGGTCGCGCGCGAACTCGCGACCCCCGTCCCGTCGAACTCGACAGTCGAAACTGGAAAACTAACCGTTGGAAACGCTTATAACTAAACATAAACAACTATCACAATCACTTTGTCCTTAAGCAACTCGAAATAGTAGGTTTGGGAGGCTCCTTAGTAGGCAGCCATGGCTAGGTAAGCTAGGTCAAGGTAAGAGCGCCGGTGGGCGAGAGCAGTACTGGGCTGGGTGACCTCCCGGGAAGTCCTCGTGTTGTACCCATTTATTGCCCCTTGCTCGGCACGTGCCGGGGGAGGGGCAAGCGGGAAAAAGAAAGGACGATTTCAAGCGCGTCCTGATTTTTTTTTATTTTTCGTTTTTTTGCCCAAACAACGACCCAGCGGGGTGGGGGGGCCCCCGGGGAGGCTTGCCCAGTGCGAAGAAAACGCCCCGTGCGCACCACCGTTGGGCGGTTGGAAGCCGCACACGGGTCGCGGGGGTGGAGAGCGGAAACGGGCAGCCGGGGGAGGGTGGGGGCGGTTGGATGGGACTGGGGTGTACAGGGGGCAGGGGAGTTGAGGGGGCAAGGGGAGGGGCAGCAACGGGCAGGGGCTGGGCCAGCTGGGGGCACGGAAAAGGGGCGGGCAGAGGGTGAGCAGAGGGGCGAGCGATGCAAGGGAGGCACCATAGGGGGAAACCAGTTGCACAGGAGGTGGGAGGTGAGGGGCGTGCGAGGGGGTGGGAAAGGGGCAGGGAGGGGCAGAATGGGAGGATGTGGGTGGGGGGTGGGGGAGGGGAGTGTGCGTGTGTGTGTGTGTGAGAAAGAGAGAGAGGGAAAGGGAGGGGGGGAGGAGAAGGGTGGGAGGGGGGCTGGTGGTGGGGATGGGCTGATGGTGGTAAGAGGGCAGCAGGGATGGGGAGAAGGGAGCGTAACGAGGGGAGAGCAAAGGGCAGGGGGGGAGGAAGGGAGGGGCAGGGAGGGAAGAGGCTGAACGTACAAAGGGGGGGAAACGAGGGGCATGGATGGTAGGAAAACAAGGGCGGGGTGTGGGAAAATCAAGGGCAGGGAGGGAGAAAGCAATGGGTGAGGGGAAAACAAGGGAGGGGCAGAGGGGGGGCAGGGAGGGAAGAAACGTGGGGCAGGGAGGGGAGAAGCCAAAGACAGGGCATGGGCAGGCGGGGGCAGGGAGGGAGCAAAGGAGAGGCACGGAGAAAGAAAGGGAGGCGCGGGGAGGGAGAAAACCGGGCGTGGGGGGGGCGGAAAACGAGGGGCAGGGCGAGGAGGAGGGGAGGGGCAGGGAGGGGAGAAGCTGAGCACACGGAGGGGGAAAGGTGGGCAGGGAGGTAGGAAGCCAAGGGCAAGGGGGGGGAGAGTGGGGGGGCAGGGAGAGGGGGGAGGTGGGGAGCGGAGAAAGGCGGCGAGGGGCAGGGAGGGGAGAAACCAAGCATAGGGGGGCGAGATACGAGGGGCAGGGTGCGGATTGAGGAGGGGCAGGGAGTGGAGTGGGTCGGCGAGGGGAAGGAAGAGGCTTGCAGCAGAGGAGGGGAGGGGGGGAGGAGAAGGTAAACGGAGGGGAGCGGCACGGGCGGGGAGGAGCGAATGGCGGGGCGGTGGGAAACGGCGAGGGGGGGGCAGGGAGGGTCAAAAGAGGCGGCAAGGGAGCGGGCACGCGGAGGGTAGGGGCGGGGGGAGCGGATGGCATGAGGGGGCAGGGGGTGTGACTATGAAGGGGGGACCCGGGCAAGGGGTGTGTACCGTGTCGGGGCACGGGGTTGACGTGGTACGATCATACCTCGGCTACTACGCCGGATCCCATCAGAACTCCGAAGCTAAGCGCCGGTGGGCGAGAGCAGTAC